CCCAGACAGTTGAGAAATGGGCAGCAAGGCGGACAAGAAGCGGCACAGTTCCATGCGCCAGCCAATCAATTTGGTGAACTTCAGTTTTTTGGAGCACAGGGCGACGCTCAGCGATCAGCTGCTCACCAAGAGCCGGCATCAGCACAGTCTTGTGGAGAACGAATCGGATTTTTGGCAGTTTGTCAACAAATATGAGTCCATGCTGCGCCAACTGGGTCAGCCGGTGCTGCCGACGCTGCTCAGCGAATCGGAGTATCTGCAGCCGGTGCCGTATCACAAAAGCAAGCATCTGGCGCTACAGCTGGACGAACAGGCGCTGCGCCACGACACGAGAGCCGACAACGAGGAGCTGCAGGCGCAATTCCAGCAACTCGTGCTCATCTATTTGGATTTTAAGCAAAAGGAGAAATTCAATCGCATCAAAAAACTGCGACAAGCCCAACGTGCGCTGCCCATTGCACGATTCAAGGACGATCTGCGCAGCGCCCTCCAAGCGACACGTGTGCTCATCGTGGCCGGCGACACCGGCTGCGGCAAGTCCACGCAGGTGCCGCAATATCTGTACGAGTTCGGCTATCGCAGCATAGGCAAGTCCTCAGCGCCAACTAATTGATACCATTTCATCTAATCCTCCAATTACCACAGCCTGCACGCAGCCGCGACGCTTGGCCTGCGTGTCGCTATCGAAGCGCGTGGCCCACGAGCTGCTCGATGATTATGGCAACAAGGTGGGATTTCAGATACGCTTCGAGCGCAACCGGACGCAAAATACGCACATCTTGTTCATCACGGAGGGCTTGCTGCTGCGCCAGCTGGCTGTCGCCCCCAACTTGGAGCAGTACGACGTGCTCATACTGGACGAGATACACGAACGCAATCTCTTTGGCGACTTTCTTCTGGGCGTCACCAAGTGTCTGCTGCGCGCCAAGCCGGAGCTGAAGCTGATACTCATGTCGGCGACCATCAATGTGGAGCTCTTCCATGGCTACTTCAAGGATGAGGGCGCACAACTGCTTCAAGTGCCCGGTCGTTTGTTTCCCATCAAGCTGCGCTATATGCCGCCGCCGGCGCTGGAGCTGAAGGCGGGCCAAGCGACGGCGGGCAGCAGCAAACGTTCGCAGAGCGCACGCCTCGATCCGGCGCCCTTCATCCAGGTGCTCAGCCTCATCGATCAGCAGTATCCCAGTGCGTAGACCAGCAGCACAACAAAATCACATAAAATCTCTTAAAAAGTATCTCCAAATCTCTTGCAGTAACGGAGCGCGGCGATGTGCTGATCTTTGTCAGCGGCGTCAACGAGATCGACAGCATTTGCGAGGCCATCCGAGAATATGCCAAGGAGCAGACACAGTGGCTGGTACTGCCGCTGCACAGCGGCCTGGCCCTCGCCGAGCAGGACAAGGTATTCGATTATGCGCCCGATGGCATGCGCAAGTGCATCGTCTCCACCAACATAGCGGAAACATCGCTGACTGTCGACGGCGTACGCTTTGTCATCGACTCCGGCAAGGTCAAGGAGATGAGCTACGATGCCAGCTGCAAGGGCCAGCGTCTCAAGGAGTTCTGGGTGTCCAAATCATCCGCCGAGCAGCGCAAAGGGCGTGCCGGCCGCACTGGACCCGGGGTGCGTTCCATGAATGCCATTCAATATTATTTAAGCATATACTTGACTCACACAAGCTCTTCCATGTGCAGGTGTGCTTCAGGCTGTTCACGCAGCAACAGTTCGATGCCTTCGAGCCGTATCCCATGCCGGAGATCTATCGTGTGCCGCTGGACACGATGCTGCTGCAGATGGTCTCGATGGGCCTGCCCGATGTGCGCGCCTTTCCCTTCATCGAACCGCCCGAAACAGAGCGCATCGAGCAGACCATTCTCTCGCTCAAGCAGCACGTAAGTCGCACACTCAAGCACCGAGCAAAACCTTAAGCTAGACACAAATCCTCTTTTTGCAGTGCGCGCTCAGCGTTGATGAGAAGATAACTCCGCTGGGCAGCTCGCTGGCCAATTTGCCCGTGGAGCTGCCCATTGGCAAGATGCTGCTGATGGGCTGTGTATTTCCGGAGGTCGAGCAGCTGCTCACCCTGGCCGCCATGCTCAGCGTACAGAATCCATTGACCACGCGCGCCCACACGGATCAGCGCTGCGAACGTGAACGCCAGCCGCTGGAGTCCGAGCAAGGGGATCTATTCACGCTGCTGCGCGCCTATCGCGAGTGGCTGCAGCTGAAGATGGCGCGCGAGAACACGCGCAAATGGTGCCATCGCCTGGGCATCGAGGAGCAGCGCTTCTACGAGGTCTGCAAGCTGCGCCAGCAATTCCAGCGCATACTCGAGAGCTGCCGCATGGCGCCGCCCAGTGATGCTGGCGCGCTCAATCGTACCGAACGTGCCCGCCGCCATGGTGAGCTGCGTCAGCTGAAGGCGCTCAAGCGGCGCCAGCGCCTGGAGCAGCCGCGCCAGCGCAAGCTGCTCAAGCGCCAGCACGGCGCTGCGGATACGCAGCAGGAGGAGGATGATGATGCACCGGACACTGAAGATATGCGCGACGTTGACTTTCGGCTGCGTCACGATGGACGCCAACTGGCGCTGCTCGCTCGTTCCGCTCAACTGGAGCGGCATCGGGATGTGTTGCTGCTCAAGCTGTTGCTTGTCAGCGGCTTCTATCCGCAGCTGGCCATTGCCGATGAGTTCAACTATTGCAAGGGCGGCGGCCAGCAGTTCTTTCACACGCAGCTCAAGCCGTTTCTCTCGCTCCATCCCAATGCGCATTTCGCAAAATCCTATGAGCTGCTCAAGCTCAGCGACAGTGAACTCCATGCCAAGCCAGACTACTATACGCCCAAGCAGCCGCTTAGCGAGCGCCATCAGGTGCTCTGTTATCAGTGAGCACTCCGCAATTGTATTCAACTAAAGTCCTGCATCGAGTCGAACGCATCGCATTTCGGATACTCAAACAATTATTTCGTTTGACTCGATTGCTTGTTCGATCGTTAGCTCGAACATGTTGCCGACTCGTACAAGTCGAGCTCGAACATGTTCTTGATTGCGTGCAAGTCGATCTCGAGCATGACTGAGATCGAGCTTGTCGATTGTCGGTTAGCTTGAATGAGTATCCGAGTTTGATGCTGATGAATTAGCCGCTGCAGGGCTGTACGTTGAATACACTAGCTTATGGCCAAGTTGTTGATCCTTGCAGGTCCCTGCTGGAGACGGCCAAGCCATATTTGATGAACTGCATACGGCTGCCAGCGGCACAGACGCTGCTCCTCTTTGGCTATGCCATCGATACCAATTGGGGCATATCGCGCATCGTTTGCGACGGCTGGCTGGCCCTGGACTTTCCTCAGCCGGGCAGCGGACTGCTGCTGCTCAGTCGCGCCATCGAGCTGCGACAACGCTGGAGCAGCCGGCTCTATGACAAGCTAAATGGTGCGTATATCCTCGCTCTCAGCCTCCCAAGAGTTCCTTAACAACCTTTTAATGCATTCCGCAGAGCTCAACAGCAATGAGAAGGCAACGTCGTGTGCGCCACCAAAAGCCGCTGGCCATGATCACGGCGACACGCTCTGGTCGGATCTTCTTGACTTCATGGCTCTGGATGTGGTCTATGGCATCAAGCGATTGCTGCCCGCCGATCAGAAGACACTTTATAACCGCTGCCCGCCGCCGGCGCGTCTGATGCTGTTGCCAGCAAATCCCTTTGTCCAGGACTATCCGCTAAGCGTGAACAGCGAGAAGGGCGGCCTCAACATATCCGAGCATGTCGTCTATGGCTGTCTGGCGGAGCTGCCCTGGACGCTGGCCATGGAGACGGCGCTGCAGACGCAGCTCTGGCGCTGTGCCCAGTGTGATTTCCAGCTGGAGCAGTTTGATGTGCCCGATCAGCTGTTGCATCGCCTGCAGTGCAAGGCACAGTCCGACGGCAAGCGACGACAACGACGCCAAAGTTCACCCGATCCGAAGGCAATTGTTGCAGCGAGCAGCAGCAGCAGCAGCAGCAGAAGCAATGGCTGCGACTATCACTGCGAGTCCTGTGGCCGCCATCTGAAGCTCTCCCAGATCGATATACTGCGTCATCGACGTACCTGCGTCAAGCACAAGGAGCTTCCAACAAAAGCAATTTAAGTTACAATTCGGTTGTTACAATCTAAGCAATAAGCATGCCCAATAGAATAGGCCATCAGTGTACGCCTCAGCTGAGAGACAAACCCGCACTGCACTTATGCAAATTACAGTGCAAGCCCACAAATGTGGCACGCCTCGCTTCCAGATTTGTTTCACACTTGCAGAGAGAATTGAACATAATTTTCTTTGAGCGATTTAAGAATTATTATAAGCCATATTTTAAATGTATTCAAATAGGACACAACTGCGCAACACAAAGCAATAGAAACTGTGACTAGGAATTATTTAATTAATGATTAATTAATTAATTAATATTTAGACGCCCTCGCTTTGTCTTCCTGACGCACTTTTTATATATATATATATATGGTATTAACTACGATTCAATATATAATTGCAAATCTATGTAATATGCATAACAAAATGAATAAATTCTATTTTATACCCAAAGCTAACAACTGTTTGGAAAAGCGTCGGTGCTTAGAGTCCGATCTGCTATGAAACTTTCGCATTTGCTGTTCAAAATTGAGTTCGTTTCGGTACAAAGGGGAAAATTTGACAATTTGACAAACAATAATAAATTTGGCGTATGAAATAGGCAATCAAAATTAATTAATAAATGCAATTTTATTTCAAGAGATATTTTCACTTCTCTTGCTTTTTAATACTTTGATTTCTTTCAGTTTTTCGTTCTTCGTGCTTTTCTTTCAGATTTCTTCATTATCTCACTTTCTCTGTCTCTCTCTCCCTTTATATATATTTATCGCTCGATCTCTTCGTTTCATGAGAGAGTTTTCCATTATTATAAACATATATTTATCATGTGCTTGTCTTTTAAGAAATTATTTTTAAATATTATTAAAACTCGGCAACTTTTGTTTTTCTTGAAGAAACATCACGATATCTAACTGTCTCTCTCCCTCTTTCTTTAGCTTCGTCTCTGTTTGGGGATTTTCTTCTTACACTTTTATTGCTTTTATAACAAACTTGATTTTCATGATTAAGTTTTGTTAAATATTTTTCTTGTTTCACATTTCATGTTCATTTGTATTCTTAATGCGTGTGTGTGTGTGGTTTATGCTTAAGAGTCTAGAGAATTAAAAAGTTATATACACAAGTAGTATATAAATAAGCCTAGCATATATGTATACACATATATATATATAAAAACATTTATATGCATATGCGTATATATATATATTAGTATACAGTTAGCGCTCTATATAGTACTTATGTCTATTTATATCTACGCCTAGAACAGTCTAGAAATCGGTAGTAGATGCCGCCTTCCATATGCGGAACAGATACGAAATGAAAAAATAATATCGGCAGAGAATAATAATAAAATAATTGTCTAAAAGCAATTTTAGAGTTTCCCTCAAAACGCGGGCGTGTGCAGCAAATGTGAATAGGCGAATAAATGAGCGAATGGAATGAATAGAATCGTAAAAGAAAAAGAAAAAGAAAATAACATAAAAAAAAAAAAAAAACAACGAAACGAAATAAAAAAATGTTCTATCGTAGATTCTTCATTTAGTCTTTCTAGTTCCATTTAGGGCATGATGTACTCCAAGTCGAATTTGGCGCCGATGCGCGGCACTCGCGGCTTCCTGGTCACCTTTGGCTGTGAGAGAACGAGAGAATTGTCAATTGTGTGGGCTAATCAAAGGAATTGGATTCATCGGGCTTACCTTAATAACAGCCGCTTCCTCAGTTTTGACAGCGGCAACACTTGTGCTGGCCTCTGAATCTGGGGGCTAGAAGCGAGAGAGAGCAAAAGGGAGAGAGAGAGTGTGAGAATTATGTTTAAATTCAGTTCAACTTCTCCACACATTCCCAATTAACGGGGCGTGGCTCTTTTTACATAACTCGTTCAGTCAAACGAGAGAAAAACAAACGGACAGCGCATTTTCTTCAAATTCACTTACACTTTTTCCACCCTTTTTCCACTTACGTAGCATGCATTTTCCACAAACGGTTTAAAATCGATCGGTTGAACAATAATTATACAAGTTTTCCACACTTTTTTCGAGCTGAATGTGAATTAAATTGATAAAACTCAGATTCTAGCTAGATTTTTCACCAATCTTTCACTCTTGTGGGTGGATTGCGTGTTATGTTCACGTACATCACAAAAGGTAGCTACTGTACAGAGATTAAGCTGCCCAGTTCGAAGGTTTCGGGTTCCGTACTTTGATCATCAATCAGTCAGTCAATTAGTCGGTCAGTCAGTCAGTCAATCATTCAGCACAATATGTAAGAGGTATTTACCGTTATCTTGAGCGTTCTCATTAGCTCAGAGCTAGCCTCATCTCCTGCATTTTGTGCCGTTGCTGAGCCGCTCGCCTCCTGGAGTTGGACTTCGTTGGCAGCGCTGCTGTTGCCCGTTTCCAGTTTTTCCTGCTAAAGAAGAGAACAGAAAATTAGTTCACACATTTAAGCATTTCCCGGCCCGTGATGAGTATTAAACTAATAATTCTCCCAATCATGTGTTTACGGGATTGCTTGAGTCAAGATTAAGGCATCTTTAACAAGTTTTTACATAGATTTTGAGGAGAAATTCAATGAAATCAAGATTCAATGTTTTTCAATCAGTCAGTAAGAAAGACTGTCAATCGGTCGGTCAGTCAGTCAGTCAGCTGGTCAATCATTCATAGAGTCAGTGTGACATCGTCCAATCAGTTAATAAATGAGCTCATGAGTGTGTTGATTGATTGACGCACGCCAGTCAGCTAGTCAATCATTTAGTCAGTCAGTCATTTAGTCAATCAATTAGTTATGGAAATTATTAATTGCTTGACGCATGCTTTTCAATCAGTTAGTCAGCTAGTCAATTATTTAGTCAATCAATCAGTCAGTTTATCAGTCAGCCAATTAGTCAATCCGTTAATGAGTGTGTTAATTGATTGACGCAAGCCTGTCTAGCAGTCGGTCAATCCGTCAGCCAACTTGTCAATCACTTAGTCAGTTCGCTAGTCAATCAATTAGTCAGTTATTTCGTCAATCGATCAGTCAGTCACTTAATTTGAGTGTTGATTGATTGACGCACACCAGTCAGTCCAACGGTTAGCTAGTCAATCAGCCAGTCTGTCCATCAGTTTGTCAATCAGTCTGTCAGGGAATCAGAATCAGGCTAGTCATTCTGTCGAGACAGTCAATCATAAGAATCAGATAGTCAATCAGTTGAGTCAATCAATCAGACTAAATACACATTTATCTAACTAAATGGCTGCTTATGAATTTTACCATTTGCTGGGCGTTACGCTGCGACTTCTTGGGCCGATAGGCCTGGATGGGCACAAAGTCCTGAATCGATGTGTACGAGCGACGCGGATTGGCATTGCCGTAGTAGTTGCCATCGGACGGCCGATTGTTGCTGCTGCTGCTGCTGCTGGTATTGTTGTTGTTGTTGTTGCTGTTGTTGTTGTTGCTGTTGTTGCTGCTGTTGTTGTAATTGTTGTTATTATTGATGGGATAATAATTGCTCGAGCTGCTGTTGTAGCGCTGATGGCTATTGTTGTAGCCGCCGCTGAGACCCGACGGCATAAACGTGGCAGCCTGCACCAGCTGAGGCGTCCTAATCGCGCGCACAGCTGTCTCTGATGCAAGTTGTTGTTGTTGTTGTTGTTGCTGCTGCATCTGGTGCTGTGCCTGTGGATGTTGCAGCAACTGTCTCATAAGGCTCTCAGCTGATGGTGCTGGCGCTTCTGGAGACTCTTCGTCATTCGGCTGCCTGCTGCTGCTCAGCAACGGTCCCTGATCCCATTGTTGCGTGGATATCAGCAGTTCCGATTGCAGCTTTGCCTGCTGCTGCTGTGCCTCGCGCTGCCAGAAGAGCGGCGGCTGCGGCAATTTCTGCAAAATACAAATATAACGAGAATTAGCTCAAATGATATTTCTATGCCATTTCAATCGATCTAATGCTATGGCAACTTTATAATATGATGCTTCGATCCGGCGTATTTCAAAACAAAGACGCAACTCTCATTCGGATAAATTAGAGACTTGGAGAGACGACGGACTGATATATATATATATATATATATAGAAAGAGAGAGAGACAGTTCCGCATTAACAATGGATATGGAATGGCGCCTAGTTTTATGTGTACATTTAGAAGAATTTGTTGGCAAGCGCTTACAGGCATTTGACTGGGCAGCGGCGCTTGGGGCAGCTGCTGCGACGTGGACGGAACGTTGGCCAACGACTGCGATTGTGATTGTAGCTGAAAATGCGACTGCGACGGCAGATTCGTTGGGAATGCTGCTGACATTTGCTGTGCCGTCGACGGCTGTGACGACGACGGCGGCTTCAGGCCCAACAGTAGCTTGAGCGCCTGCGTTTGATCATGCGGCGTCGCTGAAGCGGCGGCCTGGTTACGCTGGACATGATCCAGCTGCTTGACTCCTCCTGGCTCCTGGCCCGGCGGCGTTGAGCGTGACGACAACGACAGCGGCGCCTGCGTGGACATTGTGCGCCAGTTTTGCACCACCTGCGACTCCTTCTTGGCGACGGCCGTCGAGGAGCGTGCCGCCGCGCCAGATGTGGACGGCTGTGTGCCGGCAGCAGAGCTTGACGACGCATCGCTGGCGCCGGGCAAATAGAACTCATCGGCAATGTGCGTATTCATGGTGATCGCATTATATTTGCTGCTGGCGGCAGTGATAAAACGCCCGCCCGGCTGCTGCTGTTCGCGCCAATCCCGACGCATTGCATCCGTGCGCGCCTTCAGCTGATACGACGGCGGCTGCTGAGCAGCGGGCGCAGCTTGTGCCGGCGGCGGCTGCTGCTTCTCGTTGGCATCTACAGAGAGAAGAGAAAAAGTGAGAGAGTTGCAGAGGATTAAGGATTAAATTGTGAGCAGTACTCGCACTGACCGCTCGCATTAATGATGACCAGCGCGCTCTCGGGCACCTTGTAGACACGCTCATCGGCAATACCATGGATGTCGCCGCAGTTGGCCACACACCTGTCGAAGAGCAGCTCACAGAAGGTCTCCACGGAGTTGAGACACTCAAGGCGCACCGGATTCGGATCGCTAACGGGATGTATGCCAATTACCGTGCCGGTTATGCCCACGGGCACCATGTAAATGGTGCGTACGACAACGACACGATCGAAGAGACGCACTGCACCGGGCGTCCTATAGACATCCGGCAGCGTTACGTTCGGTTTGATCAACAAATGTGGCTTCACCTGCAGCTTAACGTTCTTGACCGGCAACAGACGCAGCTCATCGGCAGCGGCCAGGAGCAGCTCAACGGTCTCCTTGCAGACGGTACGCGAACCGCACGTAATGCGATCCACTTTCATGTGCGGCTGCTGGCGCACCCAATTGGCAACATCCTCGATATGATGCTGGCCGATGGCGTCCGGAAAGATGTCCTCCTCATAGATAAACTCGCCGCGATCGCTGCTGCTGCTAAAGTAGTCCACAATCGACGGATAACGATCACAATAGCTGCTCATCAGCTCAATGGCCAGGCTCGAGTAGAACCATTGATTGTTTAGGCGGCGACAGTAGCCGGCCCGTTCCTCGTTCAGACGCGGATACTTTAGCTGCAGTCCAATATTGTGCTTGGACACGTTCTCCATGCGCTCGCGTCGCGGCCCGAGGACTACCCAAACGGTGCCCGTCAGCCGGCCCAGACATTTGCTGGTTATATCCAATTCCCGGCACACCTTGTACGAGTTCATGTAGTCCCGATCCCGTTGCTCCTGCAGCTGGCGTGCGGCCAACAGCTGCGGCTCCGGCCCGACGCGCAAATTAACTGCAAACGAATGAACAGCATAAAGTTAGTTCAGGCTCAGGTTACGAGAGATGCCAGAGCAGAAGTAGCCGGGTCTAGGGTCTAGAGAGACGAACGGACGAACAGACGCCTGAGGCTTCTTCCTGCTGCCTCTATACACCTGCTCAATAAATGCAGAGGGCATTCGGAATGGGGTAGGCTATTTTCTTCAGCCAAGTCCCGAACACATACCCTGTACACGGCCACAGCTGTAGACAAGCATGGGATCCAGTACGGTGCCCTCGCTGCCCGCATAGGGTTCGCCGATAAAGAAAACGGTGCTGCCGACGGGAAAGAGCTGCTCGATTTTCCGGAACTGCACATGCAAATTGTCGCGCACTGTGATATCGGAGACAACGCCCTGTGCCGGATATGGGGTGACCGAGCTGTTCCACGAATCCTGCATAAATATGCTGCCACGCTGTCCAAATTCCACAGAGCTGCCGGCATAGGTGCGTATATAGACGAGCACATAGTAGTTGGCGAACTTGATGCCCATGCGGCTGGTAAAGCTGCGCAAATAAAAGCAAACATTAGATTTGGAAATTATGTGTTTAAGAGCCTTGCATCGGATCGGTTAAGTCATTTGCAATTGAAGAGGATACTCAATCAATTAAACGACAGATTTGAACCTTCGAGTTTCGAGCTAAGCACGATTCAAATGAACGTTGGATCAAACTTGAAGGTGTTCGTACAAACGAAGTTCGAGCTGTTCGAGTCAGCAACATGTTCGAGCTCGATCTGTACGAGTCGTCATCAACATGTTTGAGCTACACTTGTTGAATTATTGAAATAACCGAAAAATCTTTCGTTTCGAACGATGCAAGGGTTATTTATAAATCGATGCGCTATTGGCTCGATACTTAACTGTTCCTCGAGCGCTTTGCAGTCGGATTCAAAATATCGCGATTCGTTTGCACGCACGCCGTCCTTGTCGACGATTTGATCGCGTGTCGCCACGCTCTCCACCTTGGCCTTGATCAAATGCGGCCAGCCGATGTGCACCACCTGTCCGAGATACTGCGAAGCCACAGACGTGAGCGTGTCCTGCTGATGTCGCCGCTTCGGCAGCAACACCATGCTCTGATTGCGGCTCGCCTGCTCGAACACCTTGACCCGATCGTAGCGCAGATCAAACTGAAAGCAAGAAAGATGCAAATGTTAGCTAGCCAAACCTACTCTATAAGATTTCTATTTACTCACATTAAACTCCAAGTGTTTCATGGTCGGAAAGCCGGGAAAGAAGACGTGACGCGCCGCATTCGGCAGCTCCACGCACACAGTTCGCGGCGTATTGATCGCAATCTCGTGCGCCCAGCGTGCCAGCTCCGTGCAGAAGACGTGCTGCAGCGATTTGAGCGGCGCCAGCGCCTTCATCGGACCCTGCGATTGGGCACTGTAATCGTATTGAAACATCGGCCCGTGGCGATTCCTATTACGCTCCTCGCTGTTGAGCAGCGGCTCACACGCAGACATGGCCCTCAGCAGGCGATCCTCTTCGATGAAGGGTATCAGCACAACTGCCTCCCAGTCGTGCTTTTTGCCATTCAGATCGCTCTCGAATTCCGTCGGATAGAACTCGGCCAGTGGACTGTTCGGGTTGAGCATCAGATCGTGATATGCCGCCGGCAATAGGCTCACGCTTGCTGCTGGCAGCACCGCAAGCAGCTGTAAATCGGTTCAAGAATCAGAATTTATATATATATATATTCCGTAATCTGCCTGGCTAGGCATAAGCAGAGGCATCTATCGGGAGGCCACATTGTAAATGTATATTTTGCACATCCTCACTTCGATGACTACTTTGTTTGGTCAAAAATCGATAAGTATCGATTTATCGATATCAGCTACTTCTGCTTCGCTAAAAATCGATTAGTATCGATTTCTTTTTCATACATTTGGGCATTTTCAAACTCTCCTCCTACCTTAAAATCGATAAATATCGATTTTTATACACTCTCTTAGCCTAAAATCGATAAGTATCGATTTTTATACACTCCCTTTGCCTTTATGTTTATTAAAAATCAATGGAAATAGTTCAAAAGGGTTTTCCTAGATTGGGTAACTATGTGCGACAGACAAACATGGGATTCGATTTCAGCATCGACCGAAAAATCGATAAATATCGAAATCGGAGTTCCGATAGAATGGAAAGTCTACGCCAAATTTCGCTTTTCACTAATAAACCATAAAACGTGTCAGTTATTCGGAAATGAATTGTTCCAAGGTGAGTACGGAGCATCTTCTGGGCGGATTTCGATATGTTATTTACCTGCTGGAAGGGCAAAAATGGTTTGCCCAGCTTAAAATTGATGCGAATGTCCTTGATGTTGGTCAGATCGCTGATGAAGGGCGCATAGTGATAGGGATAATACCAATCCCAGGACTGAACGCCCCGATAATAATAGTCGAGCACCCACTGCATCGCGGTCACATAATGATAGCCCAGCTCGGCAATCAGATCGCTGTGCATCTCGTTCTTGAACTTGTTCCGATAGTAGTTCCGCTTGTAGTTCTGGAATTCGGAACGCAATGACGTTTGCTCGTCCCCAAAATCCTCATCGCTGTCGCCCTCATAAAGCTGCGGTAGAAGAAAAAAAGAATTGGAGAAGTTAAGATTTGAATATAAAAATATAATGAAATGTTAACTCACGAACTGAACTAAGATAAACCCAAACCAGAGACTTTGATATTGGGAAAGATTTCAAGTAATCGATCTTTGAGAAGCAAAAAAAACCGCAATCCGCCAATTTACCACTGTTGCTGGTGAAATTGCCCAAAAGCCCAAAAAATCTTTGAATCGCATTTGTGCACTGAGTAAACGGGGCTTCTGTGAAAAGCGTGAAACATGTCTCAAATAATTTTTCACTTAGATACGTGGAAATGAACTTGAAATGAAACTTTGACACCCATTATACAAATGTTTTTCACGCTTTTTCCACACATGCGGGTGGAATTCATTACCAAAGGCTAATTACAATGGAAATTTCAGATAACGGATTGGAATGTGCATTGATCATCAATCAGTCAGTCAGTCAGTCAATCAATCAATCGTATAAGAACTTGCTTAAATTTGATTGGGATATCATGAAAAAATTTAAGTTTTTAATAAAAATAACAACTTAATTTTCGTTTAAAAGCTTTCATTAGATATCGTAGTCTGATATGATATAGATACATATACATATATGATATATATATATGATATATAGTTGCCCGATCGGCCCGACTTTAGCACACATACATACATACATATTAATTGCCTGGAGCAAGAAGAAGAGAAGACAGACATAAGCTGTTCTGTTGATGCTGATCAGGAATACATATATATAAATAGTTTAAGATCCAGTTAAAAGCTCATCATTTGTGCTGCCAAACAGTTATATTTTATGTACATATGTATATGAGGCGCATATTAAAACTGTATGCAAAAGCAACAAATGTAGTGCGTGCTCTTTCGCACGCGCTGACTAGATGTGCGGTTGAAATGCTAAAAACTGCGAAAGCTGTTGATTGCGAGAGAGAGAGATACACGCATGCACGCACACATGCACACGCATGCGAACATGCAGTAAATGAAAGCTCGACGCAAATGAAATGCAAAGCTCGCGCTCTCGCGCTCACGCTCTATCCCTGTCTATGTTTTTTCTTTGGGTTTAGCTTGCGGTAAATGAGCAGCTGGTTTAAGGTGAGTTAAGCAGAGGATTTACTTGGCATAGAAATAATTACCTTCATGCTATTGTCAATGAGTGCGGCCAGATCATCGCTATAGCCATCGAAGCTGCCGTTCTTGAGCTCGGCAACATCCACATCGAACGCCTCGGTCTTGGCATTCATGTACTTGAGATCGTCGCTGTGCTCCTCGAACAGCTGCAGCTCCACCTCGCTGAGGGCGTGCATGAACTGCTCCAAACGTTCCAGATTCAGTTTGCCGTGCTCATTGATATTGCCGCCCAGCTGGCGATAGATACGTATGTAGGTCTTGTAGAGCAGCGGCAGGGCATTCGACGAGATATGCAGGCAGGGCAGATGCGGTATAAAATCGTTGCCCACCATGAAGCCCATCAGTACCCAGTCATCGATTAGCTGTGCCACGTCCAGTTTTTGTTCGGGCGTCGACAGCTGATGGAACTCCAGCTCCAGATATTCGCGCAGCAAGCCCAGATGCAGCAAAAAGAAGCGCGTCTCCTCGACAGAGGTGCGTTTCACATTGCGTCCAAATTTCACCTCCTCGCGCAACACCACAAAATGCAGCTCGTGCGTGCACAGGCCCAGAATGATCAGATCCGCGTCCAGGCCGTACAGGCAGTGACGCGTATTGGGATCAAAATTCGGCTGCGCCTTCATGTAGCGTATATAGTCCATGATCTTGTGCTCACCCTCGCCGGGCGTCTCCTGGCCGCTGAGTATGATGCGACACTTTTGCCACAACGGATCCGTTGAGATTTTGGTGCGCAGAAAGCAGCGCAGGCCCAGCTGCAGCCGGGCCATAAACTCGGTGCCAGGCGTTATGCAGTTGCTATCGAAGCGTTCGTGCTCCCGCCGTTCGCCGCGCTGCAGCGCCTTCGCCTCAAGCATCTCGGCCTCGCGGGCGGAACGGAAGCGCCGGCTGCGCTGTTGATTCATTTTGGCACGTGGCGCGACACCGTCAACGGCCAGAAAGAACAGTTTCTGTGGCTTGATCAGATAGAAGAGCTTGTCGATATAGTTGTAAATGTCCTGGAATATTTGCGGCTCCTCCAGATGAAAGTGTATATTGTTGTCATCCGGATGCGAACAGTTGTGCACAATGCCATTCATGTCCAGGTACAGATTATCGAATTCCGGTATCTGCCAACAAACAAATATTTCTCTCTAATTTTGAAGCAACTAAACCTTCCCCCCCTCCGCTCCCACATTTGCCTTCACCATACTTACGCTATGCTCACGCGCCAATTCGCTGAGACACGGATACCGTTCGCTGATATAACGAAAAAACTTTGGTACACCCATGGTGTTGCGTCCTTTGGGGTTGGTTTTGTTGGCTTGAAGCGGTTATTTATATCCTTGCCACGTCTGTTTCGCAACAACAATGACAACAATTGTCTGCTGCTTGGTTCTGGCTGCTGCTGCTGCTGCTGCTGCTGCTGCGGCTGCTGCTGCTGTTTCGCACAGAAAATTTCGACTTGTTTGTATGCAGCGTGACTGCAATCTGTATGCGCCTAAATTCCCATAATTCAATTACTAACTAAATACCAACTAAATACTGTTGCCACGAAAAATACCTAATGTTGTGTTGAAAGATATTACGCCAAACAGCTGTTTGTCGTGCAGTGTTAGTGATGTGCGAGTGATAGTGACAAATTTATCAAGCAGCCAGATATTTGAAAACATCTACGTATTGATATTGGGCGGGATATACAAATTTATAATTAATATAATTAATAAATTGTGAAATTAATCTCTACACTCCAATTGATACGCTAAAAGTGACATGAAAGACACGCGTTGAAAAACACGCCTTATCGATGTTTTTATATCGATACATCTATGCTTATCGCACATCAAGTCTCATAGCACTCAGCTAAGTGTCAGCGTAGCACGTGAACAGCTGTCAACAACAACAAAAATACTCTTTTTTTTTGTGAACGCTTCTGTTCGAAAATTTTTACGTAATTTCGATTGTAATTGTTTTAAACAGAAACAAGCGAAAATGTCGCTAATCCGTCAGGTGTTGTGCCGCACAGCGCCCACAATGCAGTTGTAAGTGCCTTGGCCATGCCCACATACCGTCCATCAATTGTGCTTCCTTCCTCCCATTGCAGCACCGCCCGTCGCTGGGCATCCGCACAGGATGTGGCGCCCATTGATCCGAACACGGCGCTGGCACGCCCCGAGGAGCTGGAGCAGCGCAACAAGCTGAGCGGCAAAATAACGGTGCCCGTTGACGTCAATCTCGGCCCCATATCGGGCGTGCCCGCCGAGCAGCTGAAGGAGCGCCGCGTCCGCATCCATATACCGCCCAAGAATGCCATGCAGAGCGGCACAGACAACGTGAACACCTGGCTAATTGAGTTCGATAATCGCGAACGCTGGGAGAACCCGCTCATGGGCTGGGCCTCCACGTAAGCAACGAGAGCCTGTCGGCGCGCTCCAAATTGAGTAGCTAATCCCCCCACACTTGGTCTCTCTCTCTTTCGCAGCGGCGATCCATTGTCCAATTTGAATGTGCAGTTTGGCACCAAGGAGGAGGCCATCACCTATTGCGAGCGCAACGGCTGGCGCTGGTACGTGGACGGCGAGCTGAAGCCCAAGAAGGAGCGCGTCAAGAACTACGGCGTCAACTTCTCCTGGAACAAGCGCACGCGCGTCTCCACCAAGTGAATGCCAGGCGTCGCCATCGCCGCCAAATGGCCGCAGAAAATTGCGACTTCTAAATAATTTAATTGCTTTTTTTTTCGCCTCCCCCCCCTTTCGCTTACATTAAAACTAAAGCCCAAACTTAATTGTATTGTGTGCGCCTGTGACTGCGCGGGGAGCGGGATCGGGAGCGGGAGCGCTTGGTATGCTTCCGTTTGCCCTTGTGCCGATGCCTGCTGCGACTGCAACTGCGACTGCGCTTCTTCGGTCGCTCGGAGCGTCTGCTGCCCGGAGAGCATCCTCTGCGCTCACGACTGCGACTGCGTCGCCTGTGCCTTGCCTCGCCGGCAAACGTTGGCAGCAACTGTTGCTGCTGCTGCTGCTGCTGGAGCGCCTGCATCTGCAGCTCGACCAGCTGATGCATCTCCTCGTGCAGCGTGGGCTTGCTCTTGCGATGCCGTCGCTGTTTGCGATGCGCTCGCCTGGTCTCCGCCACCAGTTGGGCAAAGTTGGCGTTCTGCTCGACGCTGGCACGCTGGCGTGGCGTGCGGCCGAGCACATGCTCATAGATGAGCAGCTTCTGGGCTGCGCTAAAGTTTGCCTGCAGATCCTCAAATGTGTTGGCCTCGAGCCGCGTCGCCGGCGGCAACAGCTGCTGCAGCTGTGCCGCGGTCAGCTGTACGCTGTGCTCTGCTGGCGTTGCACAGCTGGGCGGCAGCTCAGCCTCCACAGGCAGGCTGCCTGTTGTGGGCAACGGGCGATGCTGCTGCTTGTAAAGATGGTTAGCGACAATTGCGGGCTGAGTTTATCAATTGAGACTTGCCTGTAGCACGCCCTGCTCTGTCCAGTGCAGACGCTGCAGCAGCTGCTGGAGCTGCGCCCTGCTACTGGCCACATATTGACGCAGTTCGTCCTGGGCAGCGGCCTTCTCGCAGGACATGTTAAATGCATACGTTCTGTGTGACCGACCGGCTGGAATTGAGTGCGTTTTGTTTAGCGTAGCAGGGTCACACTTGAAAATACCAAACAGCAACGTAAACAACAATGCCGTAAAGGAAAGTAAATGCCAAAAACAAACGCAGCTTGCAAAATAATTTGATTTGTGTAAAAGCTTAGAAAACGTAAGAAAAACAAATTACACCAACTGCTCTTAAAACTATTTGTTGCCATTCAATCCACCATTTATTTTAGCTCCAAAAGAGCACAGTAAAAGCCATTATCAGGCAGGCGGCACCAACCCACGGCGATTTGCGTTCCCCAATGCGCGCCAGCTTCCAGAATGTGCCCAGTAGTCTGCAGTACATTATTGATATTATAAATTGCAAACAATAATGTAGAATGACCGCTTACCCCGTCTTGTTGCGATCAATGATGCTGGGAAAGAGCGAGCGCAAATAGGCGCAGGTGCATATCAGCAGCAGAATGACCGACAATAAGCTTTGGAAATTGAATAATGCACTCTGAAATTCAATAATGGTTTGTCAACTAATTTTAGGTGCTACATGCATCAATTTAATTATTACCATCTTGTTGTGTCGTTTGACTGTTGGCAAAGAAAAATAAATAAATAAATAACAAATTAAACTGTGACGTGCCGTGCTGAGTGTGGCCGAGCTTGCGATGTTTTAATATCGAAACGGTGACCGAAATATCGCTATACGTTATCGCTGCAGCACGCAACTCTAGGCTGGCCGGCACGACCAGTGGGTGACATATCGATGGCCGTTAAATATATATCGCTCAAATGCATGTCAAATCTATCGATATTTTTAGTCATCCCTACCTCGGTGTCTCTAATACGCTGCGGGATTTTTTTTTTTGCTCTATTACTATTTTTTGTCGTAATTGTAATTTGATCGTCGAATTGCAAAATTTCTTTGATTTGCTGTCGAGGGTTCTTCAGCGAGAGCCCCATGAATGGCACGGGTTCAACAACGATCAAATTGAAAGTATCCGCCAATTGCGTCAAATAAGAAAAAAAAAAACTTTTTACTTTCTTGTGTATGCGTGTGTGTGTGTGTGTGTGTCGCAGTGTGCTGCACATAGCGCAGCATTCGGTTGAACTTTAAATACAAATACAATCGAATAAAACATAGAATTGTCCAACACGCAAGTACAGTAAAAAAAAAAAAAATTAATTTTCAGATGAATTCGCAGTCCTTGGGCTCGTTCATTTGACGAGCCGAGTTACCAATTTGTGTTTGTGCCTCACATTGCAATTCTTAATGCAGAACAAGTCGCGCGCTCGTTGAAAAAAAAAAAATAAAACAAAAAAAGTACTTGCTACATTTTTTTTCTCGTACGTCTTCGTATATGAAATCGGTAATATCACACATATGTATATGTTGTTTGTTGTATATGTGTGTATGCGTGTAAGTGTGCGCTCCGCGTTGCGTTTTTTTTTTGTTGAGAATTCTAGCCGCTGAAGCGCTCCTGTGTGTTTGTGTGCGTCTGTGCGAGCGAGCGAGCGAGCAGAAAGGCAATACCGACATCAACCACAACAACAGCAACAGCAACAGCTACAACCAAACTCTACATACACAGTCGCAGCTCACACACTCTTGTCATGTTGACACTCTTGCGGATTCGGCCTGCACTTGCATAGCGGTAAGTGCTTAATACAAAAATATGCTCATCAAATAAAGAGAGAGAGAGAAAGGGAGAGAGAGTGTTGCAGCGAGTAGATTTTAAGCAAGTTCGAATTTAAGTTAGGGCACACTTTAACATTTTTCAAAGGAATCAAATTGTATATATAAATATATCTGTACATATGTATGTACATGTATATGTACGAAACGTAACATGGGCATGCACACACACACATGTGTGTGTGTGTGTGTGTGTGTATTGTCGTCGTCGCCAGTGCCTGCGCCTATGTGTTGGTGACAGCGGCGCGCGCTGTTAAGTTTTGCCTTTTTTTTTACAGCACAATAACCGTCATATAATTAGGTGCATTTGGTTTGGCAAAGCAGTGTCAAAAATGTGCCCCATTCAAACGTAACAGCTAAATACCGAATGAAGAGAAATTATGACAACTACAAATCTACATATAAGCATATACACATATATGTGTTTCTATATACATAATTTTAAACGGTTCTAGTGTTGCGTTCACGCTTGTGCCGATTGTTGTTGTTTTTTTAGTCTCTTAAAAAAAAAATAAAGCAGCGGCACTTCTTGCTGCTGCTGCTGTTACTTCTGCTTGTTCTTCTTCTTCGTTGTCGTCGAGTTGTGTTCAGTCGATATCTTCTCATCGCAGACATTCACCAAAAAAGTGTTGGCCAAAGCAGCAGCAGAGCAGAGCAGCAGCAGGCAAAGAGAGCGCGCAATAATAATAATAAATGGAAAATAAAAACGTTTTCGTATCAAATAATAATAATAATTAAAAAACAAAACAACAGAAGTCAAGTAATTAAATATTTTTGTTAAGTGCGCAACAACAAAAGTGTTTGCATAAAAAAAAAAAAAAAAAAGTTAAAGGCAGAGCCAGGCAATTTTTGTCTCTCGGCAACTGCGTGGCTGCTGCGCCTGTGTGTGCGTGTGTGTCAGTGTGTATATGTGAGAGCGAGCGGCAGCGAGAGCGAGAGAGCGCGCCACATCAAGTTTTTAACACTCGGCAGCAACAAGCTTTTTCGCAAGGCTGTGTACGAAAGAAGGAAAGAAAAGGTAAGAGATGCATTCGTTTATTTTGCTATGTTTTCTATGAAACACACAAACACACACACATCGTACACACACACACACACACACACGCACAGCTCATTGGAAATGCATGCTTTTTTCTAGTGAAGTTGAAAAATAAATATGTATGTAAATAAATATAAGAAACCTTTGCTAATTGTCGCCGCTTTTTATTTTGGTTTTTGCACTCTTGCTTTTTGCTACATTTTCCATATTCATGTTTATCGTAGCGTTTGTTTTGCGTTCGTGCTTTGTTATCAGTTGCGCTTTGGCTTTTTGCACCTATCCGTTGGCTACTTGCACGCTTTTAACTTGTTTTAATTCATTCATATTAAACAATAGCTGGCTTTTAATTCATTCAAATGTAAGTGTGTGTGTGTGTGTGTGTGTGTGTATGTATATTTTACGCAATTTTTTTGACATTTCATTTTGCGCGTATGTTCTTTTTGCACATACGTGGTCGTGCATACATATTTAGCTCTCTCGCGCTCTTTCTTCACACACTCCCACACATACACATTGCCGTTTGCAGTGAGAGCTTTGGCCAGTGTTGCATTTGGGCGCGCGCTGCTTTTAGTGCTTTTGCCGTTCAAATGCGCGATTTTAACATTTAACATGTTCGAAGCGCTTTTGAAGTTTTTAATTTAAGTTTTTTTTTTTAATATTTGTCTTTAGCGCGTTTTGTTTATTGTTTTAAGCAACAATATATGCCAAATGTAGTAGAAATTTGTAAACCGGTACCAGGGGGTACTTGATGATTGCCAGTTTCTGGTTACGTTGAAACAATTATTTCATTTCGTTTCGTTTAGATGGCATTAATACGTACGTACAGTGTAATAAATATCAATATAAACACAAGTTTTCTTCTAATTACACAAATACATGCACATGCATAAATGCAATTGTGTCTATGTGTGTGTGTGTGTGCGCCTTGCACTTGAAATGTGTGGAAAATTTCTAATCAATTTGCAACGCTAAATGTAGCAAGATAAAGATTGTGAGGGGGGGTCATAAAACAAAATTGTTGTAAATAGATTTAGTTAATCGCAAAACCAATTACAAGACTTAATAATCAACAGCGCGCACACACACACACACACACACACACGGACACAAACAAAGATTTTCTTATCGATTTCAATTGGCCGCCGCTGATGACGTCAAAAGCCATCGCGCAGATTCTGATGAAAATATAATAATAAAAACAACAACAGGAACAAAGGCAGCACTTGCAAAGTGCTGCCCAGCAGCGGGCAGAACATGTCAGGCATTTACATTAACATACACACTAGGCGCAGACGAGAGATGGCGTTGCGAATGAGTGCGAGCTGCAGCAAGTCGCGATTACAGTTTTCTATGTACATATTTCATTCATCTGCTACGCTTCTCGCTTTATCCCTGCACAAAAATTTGTCAAGGCCACAGTTGCTGCTGCTGCTGCCGCTGCTGCTGCTGCTGCAGTTGTTGTTGTTGCTGTTTTGTCTATCACCCGCCTGATTTTGCCCTTTTGTCGTTTCTTGTATGCGCATACACCCACACACACACACACACGCACAATTCGTGCATAATGCATATTGTTTGCAGTTATGTTCGAGTGAGCGAAAGAGCAGATGAGCTTAAAGCCTAGTTCTATGTTGCTGCTACTCGTGCACGCATACACAAGCACCCACACACACACACACACAACACACGCGCACACGCACACGCACGCAGTATTTGCATATTTCATTAGATTGTTGCGCACCATTTTTACCCGCAACTTTCCCCTCTCCGTTGCTGGTTAATAATAATTTTTCATTATCGATTTGCGTAATTTGGCAAACAAATAAAATGGAAGCAAAAAAATCTTAGCCGCGCACAGTGGTTAAAGCATTGTAAAAATGCAACAACAAAAAAGAAGAAGGAAACATATGAAACATGTACATACATATGTATGTATATGTACATGTGTATGTATGCATATGTATGTATGTAACATTCTTTGGTTTTACGTTTCGCTTAAATCTTAACTAAATAAATAAATGAGCAGCAACAAATTGTTATTGTTGTTGTTGTTGTTGTTGTTGTTTGCCTTCTCTGGTAGAATTTGCTAATTAAATTAGAAAATACAAAATATTCTTAATGCCTAATATATGTACATATATATGTCGTATGTGTGTATATAAATGTGGGTTTGTATGTATTGCAAGTGCAATTGGTATTGTTTTTTTTTTTTTTTTTGCTTATTTGCTTTTTCTTGTCATGGGACACACGTTGCGCGAAATTCTTATCTCACCTATAACGGTAACGACGCAGCGCTACCGTTAATAATCCACGCATTAACAATGTTTTTGACAGCGCAGTCGGCGGCTCGGCTCAGTGCTGCGCCCCGTTAGCTTGTGTCTCACGTCAAATCTAGCTGTTTTGTTGTTGCTGTTGTTGTTGTTGTTGTTGTTTTGCTCTCGTATAAGCATTTAAATTTCGAAATATGTATAAGAGTGTGTTATACAAACCATATTTATGTAAGTATTATATTAATGTATATTTGAATTCGGCGAATCCGAATTGAAGTGCTTAAGCTTTGTTTTTATACAAAATAGCTATTTTCTAGCCAGCTTTTCAGCTTTGTTGTGGCTACGGCCGAGAGCAGAGAGCACAGCTCTGTTGCTGCTTGATAGCGACGACGCGTCGCGTCGCTCGCGCCGGGCAGCGATCGCTCGCGTGCCGTTTTCGCTGCTGTGTTTTGCTTTTGCTCATTCTTATTTTGACAAGCGACGTGTGCGGAACGCATTACGCGCGGTGTTCATCTGATCAAATTTCGTCGTTTACCTTTTCGTGCGTAGCGCGGATCAGCCAGACTCTAGCACGGACACCACGCACACACACACACACACACACAACCATACTTACCCACACACACACACACACACACATGCGATCTAACTGTGTGTCTTTATGTGAACGTGTTCCTGTGTGTGTTTATGTGTTATAATTTTTCTCTCTTTTGTTTGCGTGTCTATGTTTGTGTGAGAGACATTTGGTGGTAAAACGTTAACAATTGTAGTTAAAAAAAAAAAAACAAAAAGGAAGTTCAAGTCGCAGCAGCGCAGCAACTAAAGTGCGCTGCACGCGCGCTGCAGGCAGCAGCAGCAGCAGCAGAAATGGCTCAGTGTTGTGAGACGACAACAACAACGGCAACAATGTCCTCACGATTTGGCAGCACTGCCAGACAGTCGACGCTGGCGTCCGCATTGCTATGTATGTATTATAAAGCACCCTGTATTTAACACACTAAACTCACGCACACGCACACACACACACACACACACACACACACACACACACACACACACACACACATATGCTCATGCACCCGCGCCTCTACACTCATGAACTTGCACTTGGGCTTTATTCTTCTTCTTCTTCTTCGTCGTCGTCTTCGTCTTCGTCTTGCTGTTGCCTGTGGTCAATAATTCTGCTTGCGCTGCGCTCTCGTTGACTCTTCTTCTTTTTCGACTGTCTGCGCCCTTCGTGTGACACACATTTTGTCTCTCAGTCGCGTGTTTTGGCTTTTGGCATAAAGTTTAATGACTTTTTATATACCAATGTTTCATTAACGTTAACTTAGTCAATTATTATTAGTATTATTTTTGTTTTTGTCGTCTGCAAACTCTGCCGTTATGCACATGGACTTATGTGTGCGTGTGTGTGTTGGTGTTGGTGTGTGTTGGTCACACTGTTGCTGCGCGCTTTTATATTATGGGCAGACCACATTCTAATGCAGCGATTGTTGTTGCTATTGTTGCTGTTGTTGTTGTTGTTGGCGCCTTTTAAGCTATTTGTCATCATCATGATTGACTTCATTATCATCGTTCGTAATTTGTAATCATCAAAACAAAACAGCAGACAGACAGCAAGAGATATCTGTTTGTATTTTGTTTTCAGTTTTGTTGTTTCGTTTTTTTTTCTTGTTTTTTTTTTCGAATATATTAGAATATTTTCGCTATTTTTGTGAATTTCCGCCTTCAGACTTGTTTTTGTGTTTTTGCCGCGCTCTGTTTTGTTAGTTCTAACAGTTTGATGAGATTTTCTGTAGAAAGACGAGACCTTTTGCACACACACACACACACACACACATGCATACATGCACACATTTTATACTTTCTTTAAATTTGCGAATTTCTGTTCAACCGGAATTGTTTGCACAGAATATCTAAAGCGAATGTTTTTGGCCTTGAGCATTTTTATTAATTTATTTATTTTTAATTTTTTAAATATTTAATTTTAATTCAGTTGTTTTGCTTAAAGTTTAGCTGCAGTTTCTAATTGGAATGCGCTTTACAGTTACATCGCAAGCTTCTGTCTCTCTCTGTGTGTGTGTGTGTGTGTGTGTGTGCTTTCTATTAAAATTCGGCATCAACGGCACTTTTGTCCGCGACATGTCGGTCATTGCCTCTCTGCTTCTTGCGCCAATTTTATTTATTTCTTCTTATTTTATTTTGGTGAAAGTTTAACCCCCAAAGCAGAGCCCACACGTGTGCGCCTGCTGCTCTGCACAAAAGAGATCACGGCGAGAGAGCAGGCGAGCGCGTGAGAGAGAGTGAGAGAGAGAGAGAGAGGAGGGGGGTGGGGGGTTGAAGCGATATACAAAGCGCTCTCTTAAGCTAAGCTCAGCTCAGCTCAGCTTTTGCGGCACTTTTGATGATGCATTGACGTTCGGTTTGAGGAATGTTGCCAGACACACAGACACACACAGACACACACACACAAACACAGACACTCAGACAGAGACGGGAAGACAGTTAGAGACAAAAGTTGACATTGTTGTTTGTTGTTATAAAAAAAAAAAAAAAACACACACTTGGCACGTTTATGGCAAGAGCTTTAAGCCCTTAACCAGTGCAACAACATGATCGAAACCGAAAGTAACGTATGACAATGCGATTAAACGCTTAAATAAATAAACAAATGTGCAGTTATGTATCTACATACATATCTCTATATATATGCATGCATGCATGTATGCATGTGTGCGCGCATGCATGCATGCGCATGTACGCAAGCGAAAGAGAGAGAGAGAGAGAGAGAGACATTGGAATTGTCAATGTCAAGGTGCATTTGTGCGTATTTATGGCTGGAAGCGCACTGGAAGCAAAATGCAGCATCAAGTTCAAGAGGAAGCGCACGATGCGTGCGGCACAGTGGACGCTCGCTAATGCGAACGCTGCTCACAATTTATGAAAAGCTTTAGCTGAAATTGATTATTATAAACCCCCCCCAACTCAACCCCCCCTCAAAATTCCGTCTGTATGACTTTGGCTTATCTAATGCTCACTCCCCCCAGCTACCTCCCCCTTTTTGACAGTCAATTATATGATTAGATTGGCGTTAAAATATGTAAATATATTCCACCATAAAACGTATTTTATTTAATAGAATTGCGCTCTAAATGAGCCAAGTTTAAGACACGTTTAAACAGTCACAAGTTTCTCAATATTCATTACAAAATAGCTGAGCGATAACCGAGTTTATTAAACTGCAGTGTTGCAAAATGATATAAAAAAAAACAAGCGTAATGTATTGCAAAATATTTGTGGGACAGTGGAGCAAATGGCAAAAGAGGAAAGAGTTTCGTTTTCAAACTTGACTTGGGTTTTTTTTTTTTGATGAAACTTTCTCAGTGATTTGTGCATAATTCACTGCGATTGTCGGAAAACGGGTGAATCGAGTTCAAAGTGAAAATTCAAGAGCATTGGAAAGTTGTTGGCTTAAAATGAACGAGCCGGGCAAAGCCGGGTACTACCCCCCCACCTGCACATATGTGTGTGTATTCAAATATATGTATATTATTGCTATATTCATTTTGATAAGCGAGAACAAAGCGATTAGCACATGGAAAAGCGGCAGCTGGTTAATTGTTGTTCCGTTGTCTTCTTCTTGTTGTTGTTGTTGATGGGCTTGTTAGATTTATGATAATGGCAAGTCGGTCGAAGGGGTTGGGGTGGGGTGAATGAGCCCTACAATTGTTGCTTAAATGCTTATCAGTCGCTGTCCGGAAATAATCGCATATCAAATACTTTTAAATACTTTGTAATTAACGAGTCGATAAATGCGACTCGACACAAACCGTAAAAGAAACAAACCAAAAAGAGAAAGAACAAGCAGCACTGATTGTGAAAGGTGTGTGTGTGTGTGTGTGTGTGCGTGTGCTGCGGTCACACTGGCCACGCGCTCGACGAGTGCATGCGCGCCCACAGATAACACTGATAAGCGCTCAATGCGTGCAAGCGAGATGGCAAATAGTGGTAAATCTCTTGAAAAAAAAAATAAAAGCTCTACAATCGGTATTCCAATTGGATTGTGTGTGACCTTCCAGTTGCACAAAAAGCTCACGCCACAAGGAATTCTGGACTTTGCCTTCCAATGCTGCCGACAGCAGCTGCTGCTGCTGCTGCTGCTGCTGCTGCTGCTGCTGCTGTTAGCTGATAGCGCGCATCCACCTTGTTTTCACTGTCCTTCTCTCCGCTTTCCACAGCCATTTCGTCTGGCTATCGCCGCGGGTCAAGATCGTTTTTATGACGCATTTGCGCTTACCCCCATAATCTATATAAATATATGCAAATATGCAAAGTGTTTTCTCTGGCGGTTTGTTCATTTGCACTTGAAATCAGTTAAGAAAGTGGGCGGCGATGCGCTGCCCACAAACCACACGCCATCCAATCCCCTTCCTTCCCCCTTTCCCCTCATTTCCAATGTGCGCTTCTGCTAAGCATTTGGCCTGTTGCGCAAACACAGCCAATTGTGAACTAGTTTACACAGACACACACACACACACACACACACACACACACACAGACACTCACTCACACATGTGTCTGCGCAAATGCATTTGCTGCCGCTGCATAAGCTCTGCCTCTGTCGCTGCCGTCGCCGACGCCGACGTCAATCAGTTGCCGTTGCCAATCAAAAAATCAAAGCGCAAAATCGCGCCATTCGATTTTTTTTTTTTTTTTTTTGCGTAGTTTTGAAAACAGTTTTTTATTGCCTCTTTTTATGTTTCTATTTTCACATTGCTTTGCGATTTTTTGTTTTTTTGTTTTGGCTTTTAATTTTTATTTGTTGACCTCTGCTGCCGGCACAGTTTACAGTTACAACTGCGCTGCCGACTGCGTCGCAGCGCCAATTTGCTACGCTCGGGTTTTTGCGTTTAGTGCACAATTTTTAGTATTGGCGCATTGAGCGTTGTGTCTGCTTCACGCTGTTTTTCTTCTTCTTAGTTTTTGTTTTATTTCCTCCCTTCTTTGTTTCGTTTCACTTTTTGTCTCTTTCGTTTTTCCTTTCTATAATTCTGGCCGCGCGCGCGCTCGCAGCTCGACAACTCTAAACTTGGCCCAGGTAATTGCATCTGCACACACACACACACACACACACACTCACTCGCACATGCATACACACACACATATGCATAAAGAAACATTCACACATGCACGCATACATAGCAACTTAAGCTTTTGATTGGCCAACAGAGGCTGTTCGATAAGTAGTTGTCTTCGATTGCCATATTTTTTTTTTATTAAATTTTATTTTTATTGTTTTTTCATTTATTGTTATTAATGCTCATTTATTGTTGTTGTTGTTGTGGTTGCACATTGAAGCCATGCATAGTTGCAAGTTGATTTCGAATTGGTTTAATGAGCCATAACAATTAATTGTCGCATTAAAAGTATGCAGCCGCGCCCACAATAGTTGCATTCTATAAGTAATTATTAATAAAAATCAATCGCGTCAATGCAAATTAATTCTTCTGCTTGAAAAGGGGACATTTTTTGCAATTGCAATATAACAGCAATGTTAAATATTGCCCAAAAATGCGCTGAAGTCACAGTTGTTGGTTACAAAAACGGAGCTGGCAACACTGGCTGCAGTTACTTTCAAACAGCTGATCAATAAACGTGCATGCGCTTGCATGTTAGTGCGTCCATGTGTGTGTGTGTGTGCATGCATGCATAAGACGCTGTCTGCTGCTAAGGTTTGGCCTGTCTGGCAGCACTGACCTTGACAGAGCTCTTGCTGCTGCTGCTGCTGCTGTTAAGTTAATTGACAAAAGGCCATCGGCATTTGTGGTCTGTCTCTTTATCTCGCTCACCCACACGCACACACTCACTCACACATATGTTTGTATGTGCATGTGTGCATTGGACATTTCTTGAGCTGCTGCGATTATGCACAGCTGATAAATAGCTGTATAAATTACAGTTGCCGCCAAACTAAAGCAACAAGTAAATGAATATATATATGTATAAATGTGCATAACATAACATTAGATCATTTACAGCATGCGCCGCGTCTCTGCTACGTTTCTGTTACATATTGCGGTTGTTTGTTATATTGCCTTGCATAAGCGCACAATAAGCAAAAACAATTTCTTTGCTTTTGTGCTGCATGCGTTGCAGCTTTGTGCTGTGTACTAAAATTTGAAATTTAGTTTTTGTTTTTGATCGATCTTTGATTCATTTATTTTCTTTTAGTAGATTTCAATTGCAAATGCAATTTAAACAAACAACAACAGCAGCAGCAGCAGCAGCAGCAATAAATTTGCAGCATTTTAAATCCAGCACGAAGAAGCAGACAATTTTTGCGTTCGTTAATCGATCTTTAATTGCGACCAGGGCTGAACTATCGATAACAACTCATTAAACACACACACACACACACACGCACACGCACGCACGCACGCACGAATCCCTCGCATTCGACTTGTCTTTGCCTTTTCTTTTCACTTCTTTCCCTTTTCTTTTCTGTTAAGCAACAGCTGTTGTTCTTCATATGTATGTATAGTTTTTTTTTTTGTTTTTGTTGTTGCCTCTTCTGCTGCTTCTTTGGCTAGCAACGCGCAGCGTTCGCCCACGCATCGCGCACGTTCTTCATTTTTCTTGTCTCCTCGTTTCACATTTTAAGTTTCTTGCTTTTGTGGCTCGGTTCGGTTGTTTCGTCAAGTGCAAAAAGAAGTCAAATATACACACACATACGTATACATATATACAATGTTAATGTATATGTAAACACGCGTATGTACATGTATAAAGTTATCTAGTTTCGCTCTTCTTCTTATCTTTTTTTTTTGGCCAGTTTTTATTTCTTTTTTGTTTTTTTTTTTCGTTTTAATTGCGTCTGTTTGGTAGCCACATTTCTTTTAACTGGTTTTACTTTTTGGTATTATATTTTATTTACCTATTTTTGTGTTGGTTTTTTTTTTATTTATTTTTTGTTTTGCTTTGCTTTGCATACAATTCGCACGCCCATTCATACACACACACGCACACACACACGCACATATTTATGAATAATATTGTTGGGCTGCTTCGTGTGGAACACACAGCAACAACAGCAGCAACAACAACAACAACTTCATGCAACCCATCAGCAACAACAACAACAACAACAACAACAACAAGCACAATTCCATTTCAAACAACAACAACACAAACAATTAAAACAAATACTCGCCTAATTTCATGTCTCACGCCACAACAACAACAACAACAACTGTTAACTGTAGCAGCGCCTGCGACAACAACAACAGCAGCAGCAACAGCAACAACAACAACAACAACATCTCAGCAGCAGCAACTGCAGTGCAACAACAACAACAACAACAGCAGCAACAATTCAAAACATTTCAATTACATTGCAGCTAGTTCGGCTCCAACCGATGAGGACAACCCACCCGAGCTATCTCCCACAACAACAACAGCAGCAGCAACAGCAACAGCAGCAGCAACAGCAGCAGCAGCAACAGCAGCAATAACAACAACAGTTGCTGCCAAATTGTTGCCGACGCTTTATCAAAAATTGACGCCTGCCAAACAAGCCGCCCAATCCTTGGCCAAAGACAACAACAATTCCAATTCCATATCCATTGCATCCGATTCAGCATCTGTTTCCAAATCCATATCCAATTCCAGTTTAACGTGCAGCTGTTGCTGTCGTGCTGATAATTTGCGAATCTCTGGCGATTTGCTGCAACAACAACAACAACAACAACAACAACTGGAGCAGCAACACGCCGCAGTTGCCGCCGCATCCGTTGTATTGGCCAAACAGGTGGTACGTTCCGTGACCGCCACCAGCATCATGGATATGCCCTATAACACCTCGCCGTCGCTACGCGTGCGGACCACCTCGCTCAATCAGCTAAAGAAGACAGCCGATCTGGCCATAGAGAATGAGCTGCACGTCTGTCCATCAATAATGTCCGATGAGCTGCGCAAACTGTTGCCGCCCACATCGGAAACGGTGATGACCAAACCATTTCCGATACGGGGCGAACGCACCATAGCCGATTGCACAACACCGCATGTGATTGCCATGGTGGGTCTGCCTGCGAGGGGTAAGACGTTTATATCAAAGAAGCTGGCACGTTATCTCAATTGGATTGGGATTGCGACGCGTGTCTTCAATTTGGGTGAATATCGTCGGCATGCAACAACCGCATATAAATCGCACGAATTCTTTCGTGCCGACAACGAGGAGGCAATGGCCATACGTAATCGTTGCGCCAATCAGGCCCTACACGATTCCTGTGAATGGCTATTGAGCGGCCTGGGCAGCATTGCCGTATTCGATGCCACAAATTCGACGCACGATCGTCGCCAATTGATCTATGATATTGTTGTTAAACAGCACGGTTTTCGTTTGTTCTTTGTGGAATCGATATGCGATGATCCGCAAATAATTGAACAGAATATACTGGAGGTTAAGGTTAGCTCACCGGACTATATCAATATGAATACAGAGCTGGTTGTTCGCGATTTCTTGCAACGCATCGAACACTACGAGGAACGGTATCAGCCGATCGATGAGGTCACCGAATCCCATCTGAGCTTCATGAAGGTCTACAATGCTGGCAAAAAGGTGGTTGTCTATAATAATGAGGGTCATGTCGAATCGCGCATCGTATACTATTTAATGAATATACATATAACGCCGCGCACCATTTATCTGACACGTCACGGCGAATCGGAGCACAATTTGAGCGGCCTTATTGGCGGCGATTCCAATTTGAGTGCACGTGGACATCAGTATGCACGGGCCTTGTCCTCGTTTATAGCACAGCAGCAGATTGATGGCTTGCGCGTATGGACATCGTGGATGAAGCGTGCAATACAAACGGTGGCGGATGTTAAGGCGCCGCAGGAACGCTGGAAGGCGCTTAACGAAATCGATGCCGGACACTGTGAGGAGATGACCTATGAACAGATCAAGGAACGTTTTCCCGAGGAGTTTAAGGCGCGCGATGTTAACAAGTTTGCGTATCGTTATCCGCGCGGCGAGAGCTATGAGGATCTGGTGGCACGACTCGAGCCTGTCATTATGGAGCTTGAACGGCAGGGCAATGTGCTGGTCGTTTCACATCAGGCCGTATTGCGTTGCCTGTTCGCCTATTTTCTGGACAAGTCCGCCGATGAGCTGCCGTATCTGTATGTGCCGCTGCATACGGTTATTAAATTGACGCCCGTCGCCTATGGCTGTAAGGTGGAGCACATTAAGCTGCCCATCGATGCGGTCGATACGCATCGACCGAAACCAAAGATACCCGGCGATGTTAGCCAACCGGGCATGGATGGTCTCAGCGGTGAGTTGGTTGCGCCCGATGGCGTCGGCAAGGTGCTCATTGTGGGCGATGATGTGGCAACGGCAACGGCAGCCTCCTCCTCCTCCTCCAACAGCAACAGCAACAGCAACGGCAACGGCGGCGCTCGTCTTGACACCCAATGACATTGCCAACGCCCCCACAAGCCAACCAAATCCAAGACATTATAAGAGCCACAACATCCCGTACACCCAACCCAACCGAAACCGAAACCAATCGACGAAACCAATCGAACCCAAGGTCCAATTAACCCTCTAAAATATAAAACATATTGCACTCAGCACACACAGCGCTGGCGTTGTAATGTTAACAGCAGGCTTAACAGTCGCTGTTAACACAGCACTTACATTAACAGTGGCAGTTAACGGCATAACCCAATCAAATGTGACAGTCACATGCAACATGCTACAGTTGCTTACAGTTATTGCTATTCAATGTTACGCTAACAGGCGCTTTAACAGTTGCAGATAACATACAATGTTTATGCGCTCAGCAGCAACAGCTTAAATGTCTGCTAAATGGCTTTGTACTTTGTACTGTTCACATTTTTAACAGTAACTTAATAATCGACAGCAGTAAATATTATTAACATTAACCAAATGCAAACACTTTAACAGCAACTGCAGCTGCTGTAGCTTGTAATGTTATTCCGTATCATTTAACAGTGTACTTACATGAACACGAAACAAAAGATCCAGACTGTAACTGCTAACATTAATTGTTTAAATGTTAACTGTTACAAGTAAACGGTGCTGTACTTTACATAATGTTGACGCCGCTCTCTTTAAGAGCTGTTAGCAACAGCAGTCGCTGACTTTTTTTTATTCTGTCTCTGTCTCTGTCTCTCTCACTCTGTTCGTTTTATGCCATTTGCCTTTAGATTTTACAACTTTTTGTTTCCATCTCGAGATATATTTTGAAATTAATTTTTGAAATGTTATTTGTGTTAAACAACTATTTGATTTGTTTGTGCTAAATTGTGATTGGAATGACGACGCTGTTATATTGATGTGTACTTTACACAAAACTTAAGAGACACAAGAACTTAAACATAAACCGTAGCCTAGTGTGTAAGACGATATATATATTTTTTTAAAACATTTCTTTTTTGTGAACATTTACTCAAACTTTTACCACTGCATTCATTGTTTATCTTATTTTGTTTCTCTCTCTCTCTCTCTCTCTCTCTCTCTCTGCTAACAATGTAAACGCGCAGCAATTAGAACTGAGAGAAATCAGATATATATATATATATTTATGAAATTAAATACAATTTTAAATGCGTATAATTTATGTACGAGCGAAATAAATGATGAGCGTTTTACTTTAAACGTTAGCCAACACTTGATTCTAACTGTACTTGTCGTAAGTTTATTTTTTTTTTTTAAATATATTTTTCTATTCGATTCCGTGTCTTTTATCTTTGTCAAGTTTGGATGCAACATTTGCCAAATTCATTTAGAATTTATTGCGTTTGCAAAATATAAACTCTAATAATAAACTCTTTAAATTTATATATATATACACACACACACACACACAAACATAACTATACAAATACATTGAAATATATATTAAAATATTGTAATGACATTATATAAAGAATTACTCAATAATAAAACCAAAAAAATTAATAAATTAATTAAAGCCAGCATAAAACCTGACAAATATTGCTTTTTGTAGCCAACTCTTAATTGGGTTGAGCTTTAGGGGAAATAAATGCAACTTTTGATACGATTCATATTTGAGACTTGCCAAATTGTCAAGCCAGGTATTTTACATAATTAACATCTAGACTTCATTTTATTGAGTTCCTACAAATAAAAATTGGAGTTTTATTAAAGCACCAGTTGAAGACGACATGATCTGTTAGCAAGACAGTTATTTTTGAACATAAACATTCATGTTATGTTAAGAGCTGTTAATTTGCGCATAAATATGAGTCAAATATGAGCCAAGAAAAAGTTGACTATTTGCTCAAAATGAAACTTCTTTTGAGTGAACAACAAAACTGCTTAACATTAGAAAAAGCCTTTTTAGTTAGTTTAGTTTAAATAACAGTTTTTGGTTATGCTATGTTATCAAAATGTTACTGTTAACAGCACAGTATATGTGATATTAACAGCTGTGCGCTGTGACTTAACAATGAGAAAATATTTAGCTGTGAAATAATGTTACTGCTGTTTTTAACAGCAGCAGGACAGATGTTAAGTGCGTCAAGCGATGTTTATGTTAACAGTTCTGTGAATGGAACAACTGTTAACAAGTAAACTGCTATTGACAGCAACATAACATATGTTAATTGAATAGTTTGAGGTCTATGTTAACAGTACTGTAAATGGAAGAACAGCTGTTAACGAATCAGCTTAGAGTTGTGTTCTGAAATGCCTTTTTTTTAAGCCAAACTCTCGTATGTGCTTTTGCAGCTGCCGATGCCCGATGTAACCACTGGACAAGTATTAGACTAAGGACTAGGAGCAGACGACGCGGACAAAGCCACGACAAGGACTTGGATTACGAGCTCTAAGCAGCAGCCGCAGCCGCAGCAGCAGCACTCCTGCTTTGCAGCAAGATGCCACGCTTTCGGAACGATGAGCTGGTAGAGACCCGGTACAAGGATGGCGACATTGTTTGGGTTAAGATACACAATTCGGAGATTTGGTGGCCCGGCGAGGTAACCTCCTCGCAGGACTTTCGCTTCGTCAACAGCTCGCGACGTCCGTTCGCAGTCGTCGAGTTCTTCAATGAGCGAACCTTGTAAGTGCGCGCTTTTCCAGCCTAAAACTAAACTCTAATAAACTGTTCTCCGTTTTCTGCCTTGCATCCGCGAACAGCGAACAGGTGAACACGGCCAAGCTGATTTATCCATTTCAATGCGAACACAAATCGGAATTCATCAAAATGGGCACCAGTGAGTAGCACACACAATTTTCTTTTCCTCAATTTATACACAGTCGGGAAGCTTTTAACGGAAGAGCTAGCTAGAGTTTTGATCGTAGCTAGCTTGTATTATGGAGGTTTCTCGAATTTCCACCTCCAGATGAGGAAAAGTCGTGGAAATGGATTACACGCAGCTTTCTTTAGCCAAGAATGGGCCTCAAATTCATTTTCACAGGATATTGTTCCAATTCCTTTCGAGCGATTCACACTTTTCGTAAATTTCACGCTTTCTCGGCGAAAATGAAAGCCAGACCGTTTCACTTGACTTGGCGATTCAGATATTTTCACGTGGCACAGTGAAATATTGGCGGAAAGAGCGAAAGTAAGCCAAGGCTTTTGAATGAATAGAGAAACAGAATGAAATTACAATATAATTCTCAGCTTCTTACGAGTGTAAATGTCCTGGGGAAATTGGGATTAATAAATTTGTGTATTATTCATCAGCTGCTGGGCGGGATTCATAACATTAGACCGAAATATGCACACATACACCAAAAGATACAAGAAAGAAAAAACTACATGAAGGGTAAATAGAATGCACACATTGGAACAGGTGTTCTGCTCCTGCCGCTACTCGATCTCCTCGAACTCGAGCAGGCCCAGAGGCTGCTCCGGATTGACAGCGACCGACTCCTTTATCGATGGCTGCTGCTCGCCGCCAAAGTGGCTCGCCTCCAGTCCCAGATGAACATCCTCGGTGTCCGCATCTCCGGTTCCGGCAGGTTCAAGCTTCCAACCGTTCGGCTCCTTCTGCTTGGCGCCGCCCGCTGTGCTGTTTAGCCAGCGATGTCCACAGTAGATCAATACGCCTGTCGCCAAACCGCCAACAATGATGGGTCCGCTGTGGCGACTGCCCAGCGCCTGTTGCAGCGGCGGCTTTACATTGTCAAAGATCGCCTGCAGGCGCAGCTGTGAGATGGCGCCCGCCGCGCTGATTATGTTCGTCAGGAAGCTGCCGGTGTCCACGCCGCCACCGACGCCGCTGCCGCCGCCGCCGCCGCCGGCTCCACCGGCTCCGCTGCCGGCGGCGCTGCACCAAACGGAACGCATGTCCTGGCAGCAGCTCATTCACACACTGGACACAGATTCGGATTCAGATTCGGATAATTCTCGACTTTTTGCACTTCGAACCGCGTTTATACAGCTTCCTTTCCCCCTTCCCTTTCCTTCTTTCACTTTGCGGATATGAATTCACATTAGGATTCCACTCTTTTTTCTTCTTCCACTGATTCCGAGCTCGTTCCTCTTGGCACCTTTATTCCGGTTTTCGTTTTCGGCTTTCGCTGCTTTCCGTTTTCCACCTTCGCCTTGCGTTTTCAGATGCGGGTTCTCTCTTCGCCTTTCCCTCGGGTCAGATTCGTATGATTCTTCTTTTCTTGATCCACTTTTCGTGCAGGGATTCAATTTCGTCTTCTGCTGCTGCTGCTTCTCTCCTTCGTCCACGTTGTTTGGCAAAAAAAAATATATATATATAAAAAAGACGTACGAAATATTTCAAGTCCAAATACAAAAAAATACCAATTTAATATATATACAAATATATATATATATATTTTTTTTTTTTGAGGAGCTCGTATGCTCGATATGAACACCACGAGATATAAAATAAATATGAGCTCTCTACCAACCCAAACCGTCCGGCAAATGTTTCAATCCCATGACATTCCTCAACCGGGCAACTAGATTTGGCAGCCGACTAAAAAAGAATCTCGTAAAAGGTTGCTGCGATTACTACGTGAGATCCCTCTTGAGATCTCTTGAACAGTTGTCTTTAAGATAATATTCCTTCCCTTTTACAATTATAAAATAAAAGAATGAAGTTCTATAGGTAAAAAAGTTCACTTCTTCAGTTATATGCCTTTAAATAGATCTAAAATTCAGCTCATCAAGTGCCGAGAGATTGAAAGAAACTCTTCAAACTTTGCATTCCCAACAGTTCCTTTAACTAGATCTAAATTCTAGCTATCCAATTGAAGAATATGCTAGCAAACGGTGAAGATATTTGAAATTAAAATACTCCAGCATTTCCTTAATCTATTATCCTTATCTCAATATTTTTGTATCGATTAAAATGCTCGGGATTTTTAGTTCCATTCGCTGAATAAGTTCACTCAATCATTTTCTGGTCGCGAACTAAAGGGTTCATTTAGTTCACTCGTGACTTCTAGTTCATTTGCAGAATAAGTTCACTCGTTCATTTAGTTCACTCGCGATATCTACTTCAATTCGCTGAATAAGTTCACTCGCGATATCTAGTTCCATTCGCTGAATAAGTTCACTCGTTCATTTTCTGGTTTTAAACTTAATTGTTCATTTAGTTCACTTGGAGCTTCTACTCGTTCATTTTCTGGTCGCGAACTAAAGGGTTCATTTAGTTCACTCGCGATATCTAGTTCAATTTGCTGAATAAGTTCAGTCGTTCATTTAGTTCACTCGCGATATCTACTTCAATTTGCTAAATCGTTCATTTTGCTGAATAAGTTCATTAGTTCATTTTAATGAAGTAGTTCATTATTCTATCGAACTTGTGCTCCATTGCGTGGTATTCGAAAGTCGAGTTGACTTTAAGATCTCGTTAATTTTGCGCTTTCTATTTGATCAATTTCTTTCCTCCTTGACCAGATCTTGACTAGGTGGATGCACCTCTCAGCTGAGGAGTATTTGACTTTGTCGCAATCTTATAAATATTTTGATTAGAAGAAAGTTTCATTCAGATCAGACTGCATAAAGTGAACTTAAAGGAGTTTAGGAGGAGCAGGTGTCAAAGCTAGTGTGGTTCAAAGGAAAGAAGAAGCGCGGATGTTGCGTGGATTTATGTGTAGAATTCCTTGTTTCTCATAGCAACTCAGCGCTGGGTACAGTGCATCTTCCAGTTGGGAGAACTTTATTGATTTGAAAATGGGAATTGATTTTGATTTGATTTGGTTGCTTACAGGAAAATCCGTGGCCCCGGACATGAGGGACAAGTTCAACGAGGATGTCAAGTACGCCGAGAATCGTTGGGCGGCCAACAACGAGGCAGCCGAAGCTGCAGCCCGGCCCGAAAGTCTCATTAAGGCGCTGCTCTCGAGCAGCAGCAGCAGCAACAGCCTCTTCAATATCAACAACAACAACAGCAGCACCTGCAGCAGCAGCAACGGCAACAGCAACAACTGCAACCATCTGCACAACAATTGCAACAACAACATCAACAACAACTGCAGCAACTGCAACTGCAATTGCAATTGCAACTGCAACCGAACAATCAGCACAGTAAATGTGGCAACAAGTCCGGCAACAGTTGGGCCAACCCAACGAAATGTGAGTCTGTCCAGAGTTTAGACTATATGCTAAATAGCTTAGAATAGAAGAACTTAGACGAGGCAGCGAAGACTCCAGACTGCAGAGCGAAGAAGCCTGAAACCTGTTACATGCAAGGCATAGAGTTAGTTGAGCTGTTATAGCCTGATTCCACTGTTCACATTTCTAACATATCCTTTTGCGTATGTCACACATTTTTCGAATGTGAAAAATGTGCATCAGAAAACACATTTGTTATTTGTCATAGCCTAATTCCACTATCCACATTTCTTACATTTCCTTTTGCGAATGTCACAAGGTAATTGCGAAAATAAATAAAACTTTTAACGGGCAAGGCCGGTGAATAGCCGCTAGGCTTAGGAGGAGCAGGAGGAGGAGGAGGAGTCATAAATAGTATGGTTCAAAGCAAAGAGGATGAGCAGTCGCAGAAGACAGCTGCCAGCTAGTTGTAGGGTATACTCCAGCCTAGTGGGAGGTCTTGTCTATGCAAGAGATTCAAGATATTCAAATCAAAGTCTGGGCACTTGAAGGCTTCTCCAATGTGGGAACAAACGCTGGGCTTGCCTTGATTGAAGAGCATGTAATTGTAATTTTGCAGGACTCGACGATACGGATCATGGACATTGGAGCGCCGGCTGCAGCCTATGCGCGTCCGGAGGGACGCAACGATCAGCGATACGAGTGCAATCTGTGCGACTTTCACACCAGCAGCATGAATGTGCTGCTCATCCATCGTCGCACCCATGTGGAGCTTAGCCGATATGGAGGTGGCGGATTAGTAGGCGGCGGAATAGGAGGAGGAGGAGGAGGCGGAGGAGGCGGAGGCGGATGCAGCACAAGCAGCTGCAGCATCTACAGCAGCAGCAGCGGAGTCGGTATCGGCGTCGGGAGCGCCAATGTGCGTCAGCTGCTGCAACAGCGGGCGACAAGACGGGCCAATACATCGGCCAGCCGGGACACATACTCCTCGTCGCTGTGGCGCTGCCAATCCCGGCATGTGTCCATTGTGGTCGATGCGCCGCTTACGGACGAGGAACAGCGCCAGGTGGCGAGCATAGCGCAGCTAACCTTGGCCAGCATTGAGCGTGTGGTCAAGTCGCCAACGCAGGAGCTGGATAGAGATCGGGAGCGAGAGCGGGCGCGTGCACGCGCACGCCTGCCCAGGGCGACAAGGGAGCGAGAGAGGACGCGAGAGCGAGAACGGGAAAGGGAGCGGGAGCGAGAGCGTCGACGTGAACTCGAACTTGACCTGCAGACACTTGGCAGCGAGTGCTCCGTTGCGCTGCAGCTGCAGCGTCGCAGCACCCAGTTGATGAGCGCACGGGATCCGCGACGCAGACGCTGTCATCAGCTGCGCGCCACGATGCCGGCGCCGCCGATGCTGCCGCCGACGCCGCCAACGCCGCCGGCAAAGGTGCGTCGCCTGACGCGCTCCATTAGCCGCCAGCAGGAGCGCAGTCCCAGCTTGTCCCATTCGCAAGCAGGCGAAGCAGCTGGAATAGGAGCGGTAGCAGCAGCAGCAGCAGCAGCAGCAGCAGTCGAAGGAGGAGGAGGAGCGGCAGCAGCAGCTCAACTGTTGCCACTTGCGCCGCCGGCCGCCATGTCCGGCTTGGTGTCGCCGCAAACGCCACCGGCGCCGGGCAAGCGCAAGACTCTGACGCTGATGACGCCCAGCCCGACGCCCGCGCCGGCCAAGGGCAACAAGTCAAAGCTCAAGGCCAAATCCCAGCCCAATTATACATCGACGCCCATCGTTGTCAAGCGCGGACGCAAGCGTCTGCGCGCCGAGACGGAGCAGATGCAGGAGACGCGCCAGACCGAGCAGCAGCCGAAGACAAAACAGGAATCGGAACGGGAACTGGAACCGGCAAGAGAAAGAGAAGGGGAACTGGAACGTGAACCGGAACGGGATACCGTCAAGGGCGTTGCGGCCGCGTCGCGTGAGCTGCACCGTCGACTGCTCGCCGAGTGGGGCGACTACGAGCAGGAGGAGCTGCCCGAGGTGCACAACAAACAGCAGACCAATGGACAGCCCACGGAGACGCTGCACAAGAAGCAGCTGCATCACAAGCTAATGCTTCCACGCGCCCAGCCTCAGCCTCAGCCGCAGCCGCAGGCGCAGCCGCAACCTCAGCCGAAATCAACAGCGGCGCCGGCGGAGGATTACGGCGAGGAGGAGAGCTCAGAGCCCGGACCGTCCGGTAAGACGCAGCTGCCGTCGAAACGCATACGCAACATACCAAAGAAGGATCGGCGCGATGTGGTGCTGCAGGAGTTCGACATGGGCGCGCCCGAGGAGCCCATCATAATACAGGACAGCGACGCCAGCTCCAATGAGAGCGTCGTCTTTGTCGACTCCGCGGAGCCGCAACAGCATCAGCAGCGCCTGTCCAAGGCAAATCTGCAGGCCGCCCAGGCGCACGCGCAGCATGTCAAGGCTGGCTCCTCCTGCTTTGACTTTGCCGAGGAGGATGACGAAGAGCATGCTGCACTGCAGCCAACCGCTCTGCCGCCTGATGGCCAAAATGGCTTGAGCTACAGGCGACGCACCAAGCCCGCCCCGACGACGCTGATCAATGGCGAGGAGAAGCAGCGGGAACGGGAACGGGAACGGGAACGCGAACGAGAACGAGAACGGCAGCAGTCAATTGGTGAGCCGGAGCTGCAGCTGGCTGAGCACTTCAAGGGCTTCAACGAGCCGGAGCAGCAGCTGGAGCCGGCAGCGTACGCGCCCGTTGCCGAAACCGCTGAGCTGGATGCAGCTGATGTGGATCAGGAGCAGGAGCAGCTCAGTCTGCCCATCAAGGAGCGACAGAAGCGCATCTTCAAGTCGCGCAACAAATCCCAGCAGGCGGCGGCACAGCGCGACGAGACGCTCGATACGGAGGAGATGCCAATGCCAGCGCTTGAGGAGAAGCCCTCGACGACAACGTCGGCAGCGGCGGCGGCAGCGGCAGCGACGGCGGCAGCGACAGCAGCGGCAATGGCGGCGTCTGTCTTCATGGAGCACCTGCTGCCGCTGCACACGGAGCTAACGTTGCCGCCCCTCGATCCCAGGCTGGCCAATGGAGGCGCCGCCGGCAGCGTTGCCGATCCGAGGACCGAGCAACGACGACGCAAGTCCAAGGCCAAGAAGAAGAAGAACAACAACAACAACGTCAACGTCAGTGGCGAGGGCGCAGCAGGGGGCACGGCTGGTGTACCCAAGAAAAAGAAGAAGAAGAAGAGCGACGTGCCAGGAGAGGAGAAGACCAAGTCGAAAACCAAAAAGAAAAACAAGTCGAGCAGCAAGAGAACGCAAACCTTTCCAAAGGCAAAGCCACCACAGCCAACGCTGGAGCCAAAACAGGAACCGGAACCGGAACCGGAGCCGGAGCCGGAACAGGAGCCCGAACCGGAGCCGGAACCGGAGCTAAGCACAACGCAAACCCTGTGCCAATATCCAGTTCAATATCCAGTCCAAGCACCGATCCCAGCCCATGCCCACAGCCACAGCCACGCCCATTACTCCGGCGGCGGGCTGTTCTCGGGGGCTGCTGCGTCAGCAGCGGGCGGCAGCAGCGCAGCGCTGCTGCACCTGAGCACAAACACGAACAGCAACCACAGCAACACGAGCTCCTTCCAGCAGCAGGTGCACAGCAATAGCAACAGCAACAGCAGCTCCATCACGTCCAACATGGCCGTCATCTCGGCGGAGGAGGCGCGCGAGCTGCAGCGTTCGGCGCCAGCGCTGGCCGAGGAGTCCACAACGGCAACGGAATCGAGCGCTGTGCTCATACTGGAGGACATACTGTTGCCCAATCTCTACGAGCTGCCGGTGGGCGCCAGCTCCGACAATAGCAACAGCAGCGCCAGCTTTGCCAGCAGTCGGAGTCAGCTGCGGCGGCAGCCGGCGAGGCACAGGCCAGACAAGCAGCAGCAAGAAGCCGAGGAGGAGGCGGAGGAGCAGCAGCAGCAGCAACAGGAGCAACAGGAGCAGGAACGACAACGGCAGCAAGAAGAGGAACTGGAACGTGAACGGCAACGAGAGCGTGAAGAGGAACTGGAGCTGGAACGAGAACGGGAAGAGTATGAGCATTTGCGCACATTAGAGGATTCGCCGCCAGCCACCTCCTCGTCCAGCTGGGCAAACAGCAATCCATCGACGCCACCGACAGGCCTGCGCTTCGAGGGCAAACTGAAGAAGCGCGAACGCGAAATGTTACGCAAATACGAGGCGGACATGACCAGCGGACGCAGCGCCGAAATCTGTCGCATTGCCCGCCAGCGTTGGGCGCGCGCCCGCAGCCTGCACAAGCCCAACTCGGACGAGCGCCAGCTGCTGCTGCGATTGGAGCAGCTGCCGCTGCGTGCCCTGCTGCGCTGGGGCAAGCGGGCCGTCAGCGAGCAGCCGACGGCAGAGACGCTGCCGGAGGCAGCAACTGTTGCAGTGCGCGCCAAATCCTGCCTGGCGCTGGCCATGCTGCAGGACGAGGCGATGGTCGCCAGAGCCAGGCGCCAGCTGGAGCAGCTGCGCGAGCAGCAACAGCTCTTGAAGAGGCGATGCACAAGTCCCAATCCCGAGTTGCGACGGCGACGCAGCCGGCAAGAGTCGCAGCCCGAATCAGATCAGCAGCTGCAGCCTGACGAGGAACAGCCGGAGGCGGACACATCGGGACCATCATCACCACCGGTCCAACCGGAGCTGGGTGGGGAGCACAAGGAGCCGGGCCAGCAACAGGATTCCAATACAGATCCGCGCATCTGCGCCGTGATGACGCATCCGATACCCGGCTACAATAACACCTTCATGCTCTGCTCCTTGACGAACAACAACAATTTTACGCCCTTGAACAACGAGGCGCTGTATCTGGACAGCGAGAATCATTTGGTGCCCGTGCCGCTGGAGGCGTTGACCGAATCGCCGCGTCTGCCCGACGGACATCCCCTGTCGGCGGTCTTTCTGCTCGAGGGCGAGGCCATGGCGCAGGTGGTCCAGCCGGAGCAACAGCAACAGGCGGCGGCGTCGGCAGCGTCACGACAATTGGCGCTCAGCGCTGGCCAGGAGCAGGAGCAGGAGCAGGAGCAGGAGGTGCCCGCCGCCGCGGCCGCCATGCTGGGCATGATGACGCCCCTTAGCCAGGTGGCCGAGACCATGCCACGAGGCGAACGTGAAGCCGACGCAGATCACCCGACCGAGGAGGGCGAGGACGAGGAGGAGGAGGAGGAGGAAGACGTAGATGACAACGACGACGACGACGATGATGACGATGATGAGGATGAGAATGAGGAGGATGAGAATGTGGCTGCAGCTGATGGCGCTGGGCATGATCAACCGGAGGCGACTGTGGCACCGCAATCGGCGCACGATGAGATCTATCAGCTGCAATCGAATGTGCTGCAGCTGAGCGTGAATGGCCACCAGCTGGAGCTGACCACCGAGGTGCTAATGAACATAGCCGAACAGCAGGATGACATTGTCATCGAGATTGACGGCGGCGGCCAGGCCATGCTCCATGCCAGCGACATTCTGCAGGCGGCCAAGAACTATCTGCAGGAGCGCGATTTGCAGCTGGTCAATCTCGAGGATATGGCCCTGGATGCGGATGAGCAGCATGTGACGCCGGCACAGGTGACGCCGGCGCAGCCAAATGATTTGCTGGCCGCGGCGCTTGCCGGCAGCGATGTGGTCGACGCGGGCGTCGGACTACTGCACATCGATACGCGACAGCAGCCAACAGGAGTGGGCGTGGCAACTGGAGTGGCCATGGCCACGGATGATGTGGTCGGTTTCATGGCGCACGCACTGCCCCTGGCCGGGGCAACGACACACCTGACGCCGCCGATAACGGCGCGAACGAACGAGACGAACGCGCTGCTGGATCAGACGCCCATCATGTCGACGCTGGAGAATCCGAGCGGCGGTCTGCAGCTGCATCGGCGCGTCTCGCCGCTGCTGGAGGGCAATCTCGAGGATAGTCTGGCCGTGATCGGTGTGACCAGCCATGGCAATGGCAGCGGTGTGCCCACATCTCTTGAGCTGCCCATCACGGTCACCAATCCGGCAATTGCGCCGCGCCCCGCCGTCTCCTCCAACGTTGCCGCCGCCAATGCCGCCGCTGCCGCCGCCGATCTGGCCAAGTTTGTGCCGTTCCAGTAGAAGATCGGGGCGGCTGGGTTGCCCGGAGCAGCAGGAACTCCAACTGGATGCTAGTTTCCGAAATCTGCAACGGGAATACATTTTTTTTTTTTATTTCTCTACAAAATAAGCGCAATTTTTTTTTTTTTTTTTTTTTTTGCTTAATCTAAGAAAACGCTGACAACCCTGTTCGTGCTCTCTCCCTCTCGCTCTCTCTGCCTCCTGCTCTCTCCCACACTCTCCCTCTCGCTCAGCCCAAAATGTTGCTTAGGAAATTCATGTGCAAAGTTTTTTTTTTTTAATTGTTTTTTGTTTTTGTTTTCTACTTTCTTTTTTTTTTTTTAATTTTCCTTTTACATTGGAAATGTAAGAGAAAATAAGTTAGTTTAAGTTTAGGCTAAGAGAAAAGAGAAAATAAGAGGAAGAGCAGGAGCGAAAGAAAGCAACAAAACAAAAGGAAACTAGAAATTAAGAATTGAGAGAAAAAACGGCAAAGACGAAAAAAAAATATATAAATGTTTTATTTTAATAAGAATATATAGCCCCAAAATGTGTGTTAAGAGAATATAAATAGATGTGTGTGTGTGTGTTTAAATAAAATAAGAAATATATCAATATATATTTATGCAGACAATGTAAGAGTGAGGCAGAGAGAGAGAGAGAGAGAGAGAGAGAGAGAGAGCGCGACTGCAAGAAGAAACCAATATTTTATGTTTGTATGTTCTGCACCAAAGCAACTGAAAGGAGTTAAATATTATATATATATATATACACATATATATATATAAAAAGAAAAAAAATATATATATATATGACAAGCATAAATACTATACCACATTAATTATAATAAAAATATCTATGTGTATCTAGACATTTAAAAAAACAAAAAACTATAAAAAAAAAGAACATGAAAAACTAAAAAATTTTTTTTTTGTAAAAATAAGTAAATGTCCTAAGAATTGCCGAGAAAAATGCAAAAAAAAAAAAGGAGAACACATTAAAATGAAAATTAAATGTTTAAACAAATTCGAGAGTTGTCAAAAATATCCTTGGGCGGATTTTCAGGGTCCCGACTTTAGAGTCTAGAACTGGATTTGCCTTGGATTTGAAGCTGATCCCAGCGGAACCGATTCGTAACGAGCTTTGATTTGGTTCTTTATTTAAAAGATCTAGTTCACGAACCGCGAACCGAATCAATCAACTAATATATTTATTTAAAAGAACTAATTCACAAACCGAGAATCGTGAACTGAATATATCAAATAAAATATTTACTTAAAAGAACTAGTTCACGAGCCACGAACCGTGAACCGAACCAATCAATCTATATGTTTACTTAAAAGAACTAGTTCACAAACCGCGAACCGAACCGAACCAAAGCAACGGCCACGTGATTCACAAAATTAATATATACATATATATTATTATTTCAGCTGGAAAACTTATCTGTTAACTTAACTTCACTTTTCAAAATATTTCAAATATTTTGTTCAATTTAAAATGTATTTGATTTCTTATCGACTGCTCGCAAGTTATCGATAAATAGTTATCGATATCGTCCTCGAGCTTTGAAACTCAAAACGCGCTGGCGGAAATGCTAACGTTTAACGGTTCGAGCCTCGTGTGCCAGTTCCACGCGTTCCGGCAATGGATTTTTCGTTTTTGAATTTCGGGCAAACGACGAAACGTCATATTTGGAGATGATTTTCATGAGGTGGCAACAGCAAACAATCAAATTGTGCTTTGACAGTTCGCTTGAACGTAAAAAGAAAAAAAAAAAAAACAATAAAACAAAAAGAAAAGAAAAGAAAATAACACAAGGAATTCAAACTCGCCGGGAAACCCGAAACCAGGTACGAATCTGGAGAATTGGCTTAAGCAAATTCAAGAGGGAAGCGAACTTTTCAAAAAAATATTAAATAAAAATAGACCGTTAGCAAAAGCGAAACGCCGCGAAGTGAGGTTAAGGAAGAAAAACAAAAACTTGTTGAACGCTTCGGAAATATTCAGAAGGAAGCGCCCAACCAAAGGTGATCCGTGGAGGAGCCCAAATACAAAGAGAGAGCGAGAGCGAGAGAGAGGAGCGAGAGAGAGGGAGTGAGCGAGAGCGAGAGAGGGTGCGAGGGAGAGGGGGCAAGATGTCATCGGAATTAACGCCCCTGGATGCGGAGGACAATGCCGCCGTCGATATGCTGCTGGAGATTGGCGACGTGAACAGCTGGGACATTAGCTGGGATCTGGATACGGATATAATGGACGTGCTCGATGTTGTTGAGGAGGCCGAGCACGATGAGCACTCAAATGCTGAGCGGGCAGAGAAGGAGCAGGAGCAGGAGCAGGAGGGGGAGGAGGTGGTGCTGCAGGAGTACACGCTGGTCGATGAGGCGAACATCGATTGGTTAGCCGGATCCGAGCAGGATCTGATAGAGCATATACCACAGTCGGCCATCATGGAGGAGTCCTACATCAATATCGAGGTGGAACTGGCCGAGCTGGACGGCGCCGATGAGACGGACGACGGTGAGCTGATCGAGCCACAGCTACTGCATCTGCCCGTGCATGTGGGCATCGCATCCGCCTGGAGCGTGGTGGCGCCGCTAACCACCAGCTCGACGGTGGAGGTGTTGCGTTTGTGCTTCGCCCGGATCGCCGGCAACGAGTATCGCATCTATGATGCGCTGGACAATGTCGGCTATCAGCCGACGGCGGGTCCGCCGCTGCTGATCAGCGAGATTAGCCCCAAGGAGGGCCTGCTCGACGGCCTCCAGCTGCTGGAGGGCTATGTGCACATCTTTCCCTATACCGAGCTGCCCGAGCATGTCAAGCAAATGATCCAGGACGAGACGGGCGCCGATGTTGCCGAGCTGCTCAACAATTCCGATTGCCTGTTCGGCATCGATATCGTTCCCGATGCCGAATGGGACATCATGTGCGTCGGCCGGCGCGAGCGTGTCGCCATGGAGTTTCGGTCGCAGACCGTGCCGCCCGACGAGAAGCACAGCGGCATCAATATATTTGGCGAGGCTACGCGCGTCTCGCTGACCATCTCGAATACGGAAATTGTGCTGGAGAACGAGGCCATTCTGGAGATGTCCCATCAGCCCGAAATCAACATATTCTTCTACGCCAACAGCAACAACATCTACGTGCTCAATGGACGCACACTCTTCGAGAACACGGAGCTGGGCAAGCACGTGCTGCCCATCAATAATATCGATCTGATACCGATCTCACCGCCCCACACCGTCTCCGTCTCCTGGGAGACAAAGGAGTACTAGGCACTGGACTGACTCTCTGCTGCGTGCGACGATCCGATCCGATCCGATCCGATCCGATCACCAGTCAATTATAGTACAAATATATTGTTGCCTAAATAGTGCATTAATAGCTTAAATATACTCTTAACAAATCTTATTCTAGCTGTTTTTAGGTTAGGTTTCTTGTACAGTGGGCATTCGCTAAGATGTTCCCAAAATCCCGCAAACAAAACTCATTTGTGATGACTCTTAAATAAAATGAAAATTAAATAGGAATCAAAAACTTGTAAATGATTGATTGATTGACTGACTGAGCTGTTTTAAGGTTATGTTTTTTATACAGTGAGCACTCGCTAAGATGCTCTCAAAAGCGCAATCAAATAAAGTGTAAATCAAATAAGAATCAAAGACTTGGACATCTATTTTACATCTACATAAAAGTTTTTAATTCAACTGATTGATTGATTGACTGATTGATGAGCCTTTATAAAGCGCAAAATTATATTCAAAGTTTTATACTTTCGAAATTTTAACCAAATTTAACGCGTAACCAACATTGTATTCAGCTTTGATTCTCGTCCAATTAGTTTAAAGCTTAATTTTCAGAGCTCAACAATACAAAAAGTTGAATACGTCTTTCGCTGACAGCTGAATTCACCGCCTTGAGCGGAAATTGGGTGGAAAACATTACAAGTTTCGTAAAAGGTTAAATAAATGTCTCAATAAAAATGAGCAAAAGTTACTCTTTATCCAAAATGGACATCTACCAAATATGGTTAGATATAGCCAATTGTTGGAATCCTACTTGTGATTTTTAAATATAATATATATAATTTCAATATAGCTGCGTTTTTTCGCCAGCAATTCATTTAAAGTTCGATTCATTCTAATTCACATAAATCATAATTTCATTGCTGCCTTTCAAAGTCGAATCGCTTAATTTTGAATTGAAATTTCTGGCAGTTTAACTTGCCGAGTGCTCACTGTACTCACATACAAATTTTGAATGCGGCTTACATAATAAATGTGAATTTATGTTTGAGTATGAAGCACGTTTCTTTTGAATGTATTTTATTAAGTTTTCAACAAATTGCATGACACTTGCCCAATTGCAATTACGGTACGCTTAATTATCATCAATAACAATTGCAATTGAATTAAATCTTCAATATGCTATTTACTTTCATTTTGTTGTAATTCGTACGCTGCTTAGTTTCAATTATAATAATTATTACAATAATATTATTATTGTAGGCAATTTTCTTTTGTTATGCACTCAACTTTCGGCTTGACTTTGATTCTAATAAATGTTATGTGTATGTGTGTGTGTGTGTGTGTAACTTGTTAAGCATTTGTTGTTCTTTACAATTTGTTTAACCACACTTTAACTTTAAACATAACACAAGAGGCACAAGAATAAGAGATTAAAAAAAGAGTTGAAGAGAAAAAAAAATTCTAAACACAATAAATAATAATTAATTACAATTACTTTTCTGGCATATAGGTATTATATATATATATATATATATATATATATATATATTATAAATCATAATAGAACAATGGTAATTATTGCTTATTATGATTTAATAATTGTTTTTGTTTTTGCTTTCGTTTTCTGGATGGCGACAAATAAATACTTGACTGTACGCTTACGACCAAGTCTAATTCTTGAGCTAACAAAGTGTCTAACAATTTTTTGTTTTTGTTTAGAGAGGGGGGGGGGGGGGGGGGTGAGGGAGCGGGCATCTCAGCGAATTCAATTGATTCGATTATAATTGTGGTATTCGAACATAAAAATACTTTTTGGGGGTGCTTAACTCTCATTCTCAAAAATATGAATTAACTAAAATGAAAATTAGAAAACTGTCGGCTACGTTTTGTGAGTGTTCTTGTTTGTTGTTTTAGTTTTTGTTGTTGTTGTTTTAGTTTTTGTTGTTGTTGTTGCTATTTGGTTTGAGTAGCGAGTGTCTTGTTGCATCTAACGCAGTCAAGCTGCGTCTCTGATTCCAGTTGTTGTTGTTGCTGTTGCTTCTGTTTAAACACTCTGTGAACGACTGCGTCGGCGTGTACTGGCTGCTGGGCCGAATTTATAGCTTGGAGCAGATCTCGTTTGTGAACTCGGAGCACTTGGCCTTGCCGCCAAGATCGCCAGTTAGATATTTGCCTTCCGCAATGACGGCAAATGCGGCTGCCTCAATTTTATCAGCATACGAATTGAGCTCCATGTGGCGCAGCATCATCACTGCCGAGAGCAGCAGGGCCGTGGGATTGGCCAGATCCTTGCCAGCGATATCGGGCGCTGTGCCGTGCACAGACTCGAACAGAGCACCATTCAGACCCATGTTGCCCGATGGCGTCAGGCCCAGACCGCCGACCAGACCGGCGCACATATCAGACAGAATATCACCATACAGATTGGGCATGACCTGTCGGAAATTTGCGGTTATATAGGCATTGGCAAATTGTTAGAGCTGCGTTCGCAGACTTACCAGCACATCGTATTTGCCCGGATTCTGGACCATGTTCAGGCACACCGTGTCCAAGTAGCGCTCCTCGAACTGAATTTCGGGATACTTTTGCGCCGTTTCGCGCACACAACGCAGGAACAGGCCGTCCGACATGCGCCTGCAAAGGATTATGGCTTAGATTAGTTGTTGTTGGCGCTGGGGCCAAGCTGCTGTCTCGCCAGCTTACATAATGTTCGCCTTGTGCACGACGGTCACCTTCTTGCGATTGTTGTTTTTGGCATACTGGAAGGCGTATTCGGCCACACGCCTGGAGGCATCCTCGGTGATTAGCTTGATGCTCTGGACAACGCCATCGACAATCTCGTGCTCAATGCCAGAATACTCGCCCTCGGTGTTCTCGCGAATGGTGACCACATCGACATCATCGTAGAGCGTCTTGTAGCCAACCAGACTGCGGCAGGGACGCACATTGGCATACAGATTGAACTCCTTGCGCAATGCCAGGTTCAGTGAGCGATGGCCCTTGCCCACGGGCGTCATTAGGGGACCCTTGAGGCCAATCTTGTTGGTGTTAACCGAATCGATGGCCGCCTGGGGAATGCCAAATTTGCCATCGGGACCCTGTAAAAAGCGTTGAACATTTTTAAATTCATATTTTAAATTTACATAGCGTTGCCACCTGGATGAGCAGTTAAGAACGTTTTGATAAGGCACTTTTTTTTACTGCTCGCTGGCAACGCTCAAATATTGATAAGCGTTGCCAACGTTTTTAGAGCGCCTTGATTTGAAATAAAAATACGGAAAACACTGGAAAATACTTACACGGACGGGCGTCACATCGACAGCCTCCCATTCGATGGGCACTTTGGCGGCAGTGAAAATCTTTTGCACAGCAGCAGAGATCTCTGGACCAATGCCATCACCGGGTATAAGCGTTACCTTTCTGACGCCGGACGCATAGCCGCGGCTGGCAGCGGGCGTTGTGTTGATCTGCAAGCAATTTCAAGAATATAATCAATTAAATCATAACAGACAACCACACACAACAATAACAAACAGCAACAACAAAATATATATATGCAAATTGAGCAATTATCAGGTTGCCAGATCTCTGGTTACATAAGCGACATCATCTCGCGCATGCAAACGGCACAGACGGCGGCGGCGCTGCAACCGTGCGTTGAGGTTAGAGCACACATCTGGCAAGGCGGGCAGGCAGGCAGGCAGGCAGGCGGCAGAGTGTTGCCATCGCTTTTTATGCAACCCGTGCGAAATGGGAAGTGATAAGCAAAAGAATTAATTTACGATGGAGACGCTTCCAAAAACAAAGAATATCTGATCAGCAATTGTTGTTGCTTAGCACCTTTGGCAAGATAGGCGCACAAGGCAAAACCCCCCGGCCCATCCGGCCGTCGGCCACCACCGAGCACTCGTGTTATGTAAAAGAAGCTTTTGGTTCTATTTCTTTTTTTTTTTTTTTTTGTCTGCCTTTTGCTGTGTATTCTTATTGTCGCAATGGGTGGGCAGCCATTTCTCCTGCGGGCAGCTGGGCTATTGTTTTTAAAGTGCACGCACCTTGGCTTTAAATGTTGCTCCGGCCAAGGCCGTTGACTCTGGCGCCGCATCACGCGCAGCCTGAAAACCCAATTGCTTGAGCTGCAAATTTTTTTTTTCGTTTTTGCGTAATGTTATTGTTTGCACGTTGATTGGTTGGTTGGTTGGTTGGTTGGAGGGTTCGTTGCGGGTGGTTTTGATTGAAAAACAAAATCAGAATGTTAGTTTTAGCTGTATTATTAGGTTTTTTTTTCGCCTCCCCGTTAGAAGGCCGCACGTAATCAGAAATGGGCAAATGTTGCTTGGGGCGCGGGGGAGGAGGCGGTGTTGCGAAAGGGTTGGCAATCGCGGCACACAATGTTTGCTTGTGCTAAACTGGCAAGCTGTTAATAATATTGTTATACTAATATCCTTTGTATTCTTACAATTCTCTGTATAAATCTAGCAGCCATTGCGTTACGTTTGGATATTTGCACTCGGTTATTTCACGTATAGAAAAAAATTCGACCACTCGCACGTCTGAGACTTTACTTTGCGCCCGCTGTATCGCCACCTAGCGGAAAACTGGCGAATGTAGAGCAGGACCGATAAGCACGTTATGGTTATCGAGCGTGCTGCAAGAGTTGCCACATCTAATAAAATGTCACATGTTCAGAAATAAAATTAATGTTTTGGGTTTTCCAAAACAAAGAGTTTTCTTTGTTAAATAGCTACAAGCAATGCTCATAAATTATTTAATTATTTTAAAGTAAAAATAAACAGTAATTTATTTTTCAAATGTGCAGCATATTGGCATATTGTGGCAACAATTACACAAACAATTTCAATGCTACATTTGTTTTAAGTTACAAGCAAATAAGTTTTTATGGCACAATTTGAAGGCATACAGCAAGAAAATTGTTAACATATTTAAAAATAGTCGTAAATTAGTTGTTTGATCGCTACATGTTGCATTGGCATCGCCAAGCAAGCAAATCGATACCGCTGCAGAAAAATATCGATAATATCTTTTGCAACGTTGCGTGTTACAGCCACAGTTTAAATTAATTTCGGCTCTTGCGTAGATTTTAAGCCATATTACATATAATATCTATGTAAATTAATACACAGTGTTTAAATAGAACGCTACAATAATTGTAGGCACTGTTGCGGTTTAAATTTCTGTGCTGCACCTAACGCACAGCTACAAAATTACCGACCAACCGAGAGACAAAGCTACGCTACGGTCGTAACTGGCAAAGTGCACTGTGAACGGCCAATGCAGAATTGTCATACGCGAGTTTTTTTTTCGCGTTCAGTTTAGGTTTTAGTTACCTGCGCGCAACAACCCCGTCGCCTTAGCCGTTGTGCTTGCGTCCTGCGTTTCCAAATCGAAACTCGACAAATATTCCAAACGCTGCGACCAAATGTATGCACTGCATGTTCACCAATTCGGCTGCGTCTTGTAATTTGCTATCAAATTGTGTAAATACATAAGCGAAAGCAGTCGCAGCAGCAACGCTTATACCCCGCGCGTATTGCTCTTGTGAGGCGCGCGTCTTTATTTTAACGTTTTTTTTTTTTTTTTTTTTTTTTGTGTTTTTGTTGGCTGTGCGAACCAGCCAACGGGCAGCATTTAAGGTAAGCTGAAAGTGTATTGTGTGTTTTTTACGTGTTTAAAATGTGCACTTCGCAATGCATCTCAGCTGCTTGGGCCAATAAACACGCACGCACACACTCGTAACTCTCGCACACGGCCACACGCGCGAATACACGCACGCATACACACACACACACACGCACGCACATGTACATATAATTATATATATGCGGGGCAGCACACGCACAGGCACAGGCACAAACACAAATGTATAACTGTGCCTGACAGCACACACACTACACGACGACGGCCGTTAACGACAAAGTGCGACTCGTAACCCAGCTTGCCTACTTTGCTCAAATGCGCTGCGAACGCTGCCGAGTTTCTATTTAATATCATTTTTTGCTTGGGTTTTTTTTCCTGATTCTTTTTTGTTTTATTCCGAAGAATTCTGTGTGCTGCCTTTCGTTGAGAAGCTGTGTACGAATTAAAAAAAAAAAGCATAATTCTCGATTTGTGTGGTTGATTGGATAAATAAATGAAAAAATCAAATTTAATTTCTTGCCTTGCATTTGCAGTTGCCCCCTCGGCTTGGCCGCTTCAATAATTTCGAGTGGCGAACGGTAGCATAATTATCGGCACGCTGGAGAAACAAAATAAACGCTCCCAGCTCATACGCGACAAAATGGTGTTGGCCGAGCGCAACACCGGCGACATTGTGCGCAATGGCCGTCGCTCACGTGGACCCAGCCCCAATACACATACAAGCGGCGCTGGCAGCGGTGCTGCTGGCCATGGCCACAATTCTGCCACCGGCATGGCCGGCGGCGGCGGAGCTGGCGGTGGCGGTGGCGGCGGCGGCGGATCCGGTGGCACAAACTCGACGGGCAATGAGAAGGCCACAGCTAACGTACCGGGTGCCGGCACACCGGAGAGCTCCGACGATGATAACTGTGAGTGTAAAGCTTATAAACATATGTATATACATATTTATATTGTTTCATTCAAATTGAAATTTTGTTTCCTATTGATCTCCATGCAGCGACAAAACGCAACGGCAAATCCAAGGCAAAGCAGTCGGAATACGAAGGTAAGTCAAGCCACAAGCGTTGCCCCACAAGCATATCCATAGCTATCTTTATCCACAACAGAGAAAATACGCGTTGGACGCGACTATCAGGCGGTGTGTCCACAGCTGGTGCCCGAACTGGATCGCCGTCCGGAGCTGATGAACGAGCGCGCCTTGTTGGTCTGGTCGCCCACCAAGGAGATACCCGACATGAAGCGTAAGCCTCTTTAGCGAATATATACCATATGCAGCAGATCGATCGAATAACTGACGCAATCTCTCGCATTCTCTCTCAACCGACCAGTGGAGGAATACATTTCGGTGGCAAAGGAGAAATATGGCTACAATGGTGAACAGGCATTGGGCATGCTGTTCTGGCATAAACACGATCTGGAGCGTGCGGTCATGGATTTGGCCAACTTCACACCGTTCCCGGATGAGTGGACCATCGAGGACAAGGTGCTATTCGATCAGGCATTTCAGTTTCATGGCAAAAGCTTTCATCGCATACGCCAAATGGTAATTATTATTATTCTATAAATGTATATGCAGATATTTAATGAAATTTATATAACCAACTGATGTCCAATTAGCTGCCAGACAAATCTATAGCCAGTCTGGTCAAATATTATTATTCGTGGAAGAAGACGCGTCATCGCAGCAGCGCCATGGATCGCCAGGAGAAAATGATAAAGACGGCCGTCAAGGATGGCTCCGAGAACGGCAGCGAGGTGGGCAGCAATGAGGAATCCGATAACGATGACAAGGTAATTATCAGTTAGAACTTAGCACAACAACAACAACAACAGCAACAACAACAACAACTACAGCAAAAAAAAAAAAAAAAAACAACATACAACCAACGACAAGCAAACAAAAAAGAATTCAAGACTTCCACTCCTCCGACACCCTCCTATTCTCCATCCACCATATACATATGCATATATACACACATACATATGCATATATATACACACACACACATACATACATACACAAACACATATATACATTCGCATAACTCATCATCAGCTCAGTTCGTAAATGCCGAGAGATCTCCGTTCACGCTCATTCACACACACACACACACACGCACACGCACACAGATACAGACATATGAACACACATGCACACACACACAGAAAGCACACGTTTTTAACACACACACGTACAATGTTAGCTAATCTTAGGGCTCTTGCCACACCCACAAGTCTTACGTTTTTACAAAATGTCCGCTGGTTTCCCCACAAACGTTCATATATGGATATATATATATATATATATATATATATATATGTATGTATGTATGTATATATGTATGTATATTGATCTGATATCTGATCTATACGCTTGTACTATATGTTCATACCAATCCCAGCGCACAACATAAACGTTGTCCAACACTAACCATATAGGGTTTGAAATAAGACTTTTTTTAAACTTATTTCGGACTTGTTGAAGAAGTTGTGTTTTTAGGATAAAAGAGTTTTTTACTCTCTATTCTCTATTAATATTTGATAGAGAGTATGCTTAAAAATATTTTAAATGCTTAGGAAAAAGGTATTCCATTTGGAATATACGAGAACGAATCTTAAGAATTGTTTTACACTCATCTAGGCGAAAAAGAAGAAGATAATAAGAGTATAATTTAGTTAGAATATATATATAATTGGCATATAATACAGAAGTCTAAAAGATATTGCAACAATATAAAAAGAGATATTTTGAGATAGATAGGATAATGTATATAAGAATAAAGATATTTCCTTTTTGTAAAGGATAGTATTTATTTTGGGACATATAACAGAAAGCTCGAAGAAAAATGTAAATGATGCTCTCTATTTTCTACAGAAGAAGGGAAGGGAAGAAAACATGCTGAAATTCATGTTTATAAGGAAGTATTCTTTTCAATAGATAATAGTATGGAGAGATAAATGAAATAAAAATACAAAAGAACTGAAAAGTCCCTACTCCATAAAAAGTGCTTAATGCAAACCAAGGGAAATACTCTAGAGCCCACTCTATTTATATAGTTGGGTAACATGTATGCCATGGAGCTTTATATAACTAGGAATACAAAAGTTTATTGAGTTTCAATTTGAAGCTCTCCAAAAGATTGCTGCAGATAGGTGTTAATAAGTATTAATAACAAAACGCAACGTGAAACAAGTTTTTTTTTCTTCAGTTCTATAAAAAGAATTTACTCTGAAAAAGAAAAAAAAAACATTTACGATAAACTTGGGCATTTCATTCGTTCAGTTTTACGATTATTTGATGTTGCGGGATCGATAGGCGCGCAACCAAAAATACGTTCAAGAACTTAACGAAGATGATGTGCAACACTGTCAACGCCGCACCGCGTGTCAAGTGTTCTACATTTAGAAAAACTTGACGAAACTGCAATTTTGACAGCAGACGTTTTTTTTTTTTGGGGGGGCGGCGCAGTGTTGCATTTGGAAAGTGACAGCCCCGTTGCATGCATAGCTGTGTATGTGTGTGTGTGTGTGTGTGTATGTGTGTGACCGCAATTGCCTGGGAGTAAATTTTTAAAGGGTTTGGGGGAGGGCCTCTGAGCAAATGGGCTGGAACGTAGACCAAAAATAACCTGTAAACACGCATAGGCTGAAGACAATATATAAATTTGATATATATATATACATATATAAATATTATGTCATACTCCGAAATGTGTCTGATAAGTTATAAAAAAAACGGAACTGAATCATAGTTCATAACAAAAAACTATATATATTTGCGTAAAACAATTATTTTTATTTGTATATAAGACCTAATTAAGGCTGAAATGCGTCTGTCAGGACGTCTGTTTGTGGGTTCGATTGAAATGGGCCAAAGTTTAAGTTAGAACTGTACAGATTTTAAGGCATAGCATCTAGCTTAAGATCGATTAGTTGTATGTACGTGTACATATAACTGCTGCTGCCTCTTTTTCCGGGCATATTTCTTCTCTTCTTTCTCTCAAAAACTCTTGGCATAACCGATATATATATATATATATAGAGAGAGATACTCTAACGGGCGCAGTTGGTTCGATTAGTTAAGTCGCGGGATTCAAGCCCATATGAACGTTATATAGATATAGTAAAAAAATATGGTTCAATATTTTTTCAGATAATCGCCGTGCCTGCATACCTCTCATAACAACTTACAACACACACACACACGAACACACACACACTCACATATACACACACACATATATATACACACACACACACACATTCAGCTAATTTGTATGTGTCTTATGCCAAAACCAAAACTTTGACCAGCATCTTTTAGACTTACAATCAATTCTACACAAAGAGAAAAGAATGCGCATATTTCTCATGCAGAAATATTTGTTTTTTTTTTTTTTTAAATTAAATTTTTTTTTTTTTTTAATGATTTTTTGTATTAATTTCTATAAAGAAATCAATGCGCGCGACTCTAGACGTAAGGCAAATAGACTTTTTGTTCTCTATTTATATATAGATTATATATATATGGATATATATATATATATGCATACATATTTTTTTACGAAAAGCGAGTATTAAACTAAATTATTATGTAGTAGATATATGCTAGTAATTTATAAATAAATCAAGTACTAATTTAATGCTTTTATGTCTTAAAGAAAATGAGAAAAAACAAATCGAAACAAAGCACAAACAGTATATCCAAAATTATACCTATACACTTATAGTTATGCTACATATATAGAAAGATATAAATAGAAAATAGAGAAAAAAGAAAAGAAAAAAAAAAACCAAACATAACATGTTGATTATAATGATATATTATGATGAGAACGATGATAACGATGATAACGATATTGATGATGCTGATGATAATGATAATAATGCTGATGATAATGATAATAATGCTGATGATAATCACAGACGTAATGCTAATAAATTTCATATCTTGTTTGCAAGAAGATTAAACAAAAAAAAATACCAACAATATATATGTGTTTCTTATTCATAAAACTTGAAATCGAAACAAGTTAAAAACAAAAAAAAAAGAAAGAAAAGAAACTTTTCTTTTTCGGATTCGCTTGGTTTTAGATATCCAGAAAAAAAAAAACACGCGCATACAAGCACAGTACCGTTACGCACACACACACACACACACACACCCATATACACATACATATATACCTGTAAATATATGTTGTATATGACGCCTACAACAACTAATCGGGATCAGACTTAACCTCGCTTAATTCAAGTATTCTCTCATATCATACACTCAGAAACACACACGCACACACACACACACACACACACACAGACAGAGACACAGACACAGACACACATACGCACACTCTAATGCCCACATGCTTCCCGTTAACGCCCTGGCATATAGCTAACTGTATAAAAACACTGTAATAATTACTGTTAGTCGTATAGTATTATATCCTTATGCATTCTCATATATGTAGACTGAATGTTGCATATGATTTAATTTTAAGTTTTATTATTATTATAATTATTATCAATATTTATTGGTTGTGTGCACTGATCGGAGCTTGACTTTTGTTTAGTTTTGCATTTTAACCCGTTTTTATTTGCCCATCCCCCCCAACCCCTATATATATACCCCGCCCCACCTACAAGTTTTTTTAAGTTGACCTTGTTCCGTGACTCGTTACAATTTTACTCGCTACAATAATTGCTCGTTATTATACAAAAAAAAAAAAACAACACAAAAAAAAGAGTTCGTGCATTTGGCCGCTTACTCGTTGCGAGCACTCGCTGCGTTTCACTCGTTACTTATTCAAAGCTAACTCGTTGCGAGCACTCGCTGCGTTTCACTCGTTACTTATTCAAAGCTAACATCTCTGGTTTTATTTGGAACTAAGGTGAAATTGCAATTTTTTATTTTAAGCATATACCAATTAAAAAGCAAACACACACAAACACACACACACAAACATACACACGCACACACACTCGAGCAATGCCAACGCAACTTTTGCAAAAGAGCGAGAGAGCGAGAGAGAGAGAGAGAGAGAAATTCCCTTATTTAAATAAGATGAAAAAAGAGTGCAATACAAATGAAACAAATTAAACAGATCTACACCAGCAAATCTTGTATATGTATGTGTGCTACATGCGTATGTGCATATACACATATATATATATATATATCTATATAATAATTATATATGTGTGTATGTTCCTGTATGTATGTGCATAAATATGTATACGTGTGTATAAGCGTAGCGTTTGAGCTTGTTGCAGGCGTGGAACATTTGGCCCGTTAGAACAAAAACAAAAAAAAAGTCCCAAAAAAAGGGAGAAAAAAATACCCCGATTCGATTTTCGAATACCGAACAAAACACAAAAAAAAAAAACAAAAAACAAACACATGCACACGCGCACACACTTATACACACGCACACATACACACACACACACACACTTATACACACACGCCTACCAATGCATACACACTCATGCGCTTCGCAGTGCAGAAAGCAGCAGAGCGAGTTTCAAAATCAATTTAAATTAATTACAAAGAAAATTAAATTAAAACCAAAAAATATATACATATATATATATACATATACATATATCAACAAAGACAAGATCAATAAGTTGAAGTAGAAGAAGAAGCACATGTAGAGAGTTGCAATTTTGTTTGATCTTCGATTGGGTTGGTCGCAGGAGGAGGAGCCGGTCGGGCGGGGGCTGTTAGCTAGCGTGGGGTAACTACGACAACAACAACAACAACAACTACTACCTCTTAAGTGTTACCAAGTGAACTAAAGCAAAAACCAACAAACTGTTTTTTTTTCTCTTCTCTTTGCATTTACTGTCAAAATAAACCAACACACACATTCACAAAAAAAAAAAACCTTAACATAAACTGTCCGCAACTGACGTTCTAAAAACCAACGCATACGATCTATCATAACGTACCGTACGATCAAAAATCAAAACGAATCAATTCAAAAAAACAAAAAAAAAAAAAAAACCAAAATGAATTCGCTTGCTGCTGCTGCTATTTGCGACTGCGTTGGCATTAATAACCACCATTCATGACCCTCAAAAAAAACCAACAACTTAATCTTATGGCTGGGCAGAGGGCGAACAACAACAATTCCACGATGAACAACAACAATAGCGGCACTCACAGCAATGCTGGAACGCCTGGAAGCAACGGCAACGGCAACGGTAACGGCAATGCCAATAGCAACAGCAACAACAGCAACAGCAATGCAACTGGCGACAGCAACAACGGCAGCGGCGGCGTTAGCGCAGGCAGCGGCAGCGGCATCGGCAGCAGCAGCAATAGCAACAGTAACAGCAACAGTAACAGTAACAGTAACAGCAACAGTAACAGCAACAGCAACAGTAACAGCAACAACAACGATCTGGATGCCGATCAGCTGTGCATTTATACAAATGCATTGGGCGATGATATGCTCGGCTTTGGGCTGCCCGGCTTTGGCCTGTCTATCGATAACGGCGGCGGCGATATTGATAACGATAACAACAATCCAAGCGGCAACATCGGCAACACTGGCAGCAACAGCAATGCACGGCGCGTCGTTGTGGGCGGTTTTTGCAAAAATTGCAACGTTGTCTGCTACATTTTATTCGATTCGCCATTGGGGCGCATGTGTAAAAGTTGTCACACGCACTGGAGGTAGATATTCCCATCAAATATTACAAAAAAAAAAAAAAAAAGCAAGAAAACAACTACAAACTCTAGCTAAATATGTTGTTAAATCTCCAAAAAAAAAAAAGCTAATGCTAAGTTTTTCTCTCTCTCTCTCTCTTCCAATTTCTCTCTCTTTGAACCCGTACAAAAAAACTGAAAAAAAAAAAAACAAACGAAAAATGATGTTGCATAACTTTTGACCAACAAAATATCTACCACACACTCACACACTCACACACACACACACGCACACACACACACACACACGCTCACACACATTCGCATTCATTTGTTGCTTGTGCGCCTTCTCGCCAAATCTTTCGCCCTTAATCCTTATGCCCGCACCACGCACTGCACCCCGCACCACGCACCACGCACCACAGACGCACGGGCAATCGTCGTCCCATCTCCGGCCCGGACAGCATTGCACCCACAAAACGTTCCACACACAACAGCGCCGCAGCGGCGGATCGTTCCAAGCGTAAACCGCCACGCGGCATGTACATCAATCATGATGATCTCACCGCCTTGGCCGGCTGCAAGAATCCGTGCGAATATTTAGCCGAAGGCGATCGTAAAATTGCCGCCCTCATGGCAGAAGTAAGAAATGTAATTTTTATTTATATATTCATCATCTATTTTGTGTGTGTTCGTCTTGTACCTCAACTTGCATGTTCTTTGCTTCACTTCTTCTTCTTCTTCTTCTTGCTAACTGGAATGTTAACCTCAAAAAGTTTTCACATTCCCGTTAGCAAGAAAAAAAAGTGAGTTTTTTAAAACAAAACAAAAAAGCCAAATCGCGCCCGCCTGCCATTTAGAAACTAGGCTAGTTCCAGGGGAAGGGAAAGTTTCGCTTTAAACTCTTCGAGTAGAACTCTCTCTCTCTCTCTCTTGCTCGCTCTCTCTCAATACATATATATATATATATATATTTTTTGGTTTAACTTAACTGTACTTTGTCTTACTATAAAGTTTAATATAAAGCTTTTCAGTTGTTAGTTTAAAAATCTAAAAAAAAAAGAAGGAAACAAAAGAATTTTGTTACTCAGCTACAGGGTATTACGGGCTTCATCATTTTTGCTATGTAGTCTAGTTGGGCGTATTGGCTTGCACGTGTTTTGTTTTTGTAGTCGTTGTTTATATGTCACACACACACACACATACACGCACACTCACACGCACACTCATACAAATAAGCACACGCAGAGACAGACAGACACAGAGACAAGCGACAGAGACAAGCCACGAACCACGGACCAGACCCAACGCCTCCGATTGACACATTGGATTAAATGCCCGACGGCCCATTACAGATCCAAAAGAATAGGCAAATGATGGAGCAGCTGGAGAAGGATTGCAGCGATGGCAACGTGGACGTGGATAGCGGCTCGACCGGAGCCCAAAAGACGACGCCCAGCAGCACGGAGACAGCCGCCGCTGCCCAGCCCCGCATCTCGGCACGCTGGACGTCCGATGAGATTGAAGTGGCACTGCTCGCCTTGCGCGACTATGGCAAAAACTTTCCGGTAAGTGAGCCACAAATCCTCGCCAGACTCGCATTGATAATGTCTGACAATTGTCTTGCAGATGATTGCCAAAGTCGTGGGCACCAAGACGGAGGCGCATGTGCGCACCTTCTATGTGAGCAATCGTCGACGCTACAATCTAGATCAGATTGTCAAGGAGTACGAGGCCAAGTCTGAGGACTCCAACATCGAGGAACAGTGCGATGCTGCTCCAGCAGCTGGCGCTGCGGCTACAACGGCCACCGCCGCAACAGCCGCCGCTGGCAATTTGATGGAGGGCAGCAAATCGGAGACAAGTGACGCTACCAGCCAGGAGCTGGCCAAGAAGGAGGAGCCAATGGCCAATGCCAACAGCACCGCCAGCAGTAACAGCAACAACAACACTACAAAAAAGAAGCCTGAACTGATGAATGCAGCAATCGCTGCACTCAAGAGCAGCGAGTGCGCCAGCTCAACAGCCGTCGCTCCGCTGGCGGCTGCACTTGCTGCAGCAACCGCCTCGGGCACGGCAAGTGTCAATAAGGCGGCGACATTGGCGATCGGTGCGCCAACCATAACCATTGTGGATGAATCGGACACGGCGACCAGCTCCAGCAGCGATTTGGCCAACAGCAACAACAATATGGCGCCAGCCGCTGGCAGCAACTCGGTCTCGTCGCTGTCGGGCATCAGCAGCAGCAACAGCAGCAGCAGCAGCAGCGCAGCACCCGCCAAATCATCGACCAACAACAATCACAACGATGCTGACAGCGAGGAGTCGCTGTCGCTCAAATCATCAGCTCACGTTCCAGTTAAACGTGACAATTCCGATTTGGTAGGTCAACAAAATATAAATTACTCGTATTTTCGCTCTTAATAACTCGCTAGAAAATTAATTGGTTGCTTTCCATATAAATTACTCGTTGCGTTAATTCGTTGTCATTGATCCGCTGTTTATGAAAAGCTTTTACTTTTCGATTGCTTGCTTAAAGTTATGCGCTATGAGCACTTATTGTAATTGATTCGCTGTGTTTTAAACATTGTCGACTTGTAAAATTGACAGTTATAAATTACTCGCTCAGGGTTGTTCGCTGCTCGTAACTCGTTGAATTTGACTCGCTGCTTATTAAGCTTTATATACTTGGAAATTGTTTGTTCAAAATTACTCGTTCAAAGTTAGTCGCTACTAACTACTCGCTGTGCTCGACTCGCTGTTTATTACTCTATTCGCTTGTATTAATACTTACGTGAAAATGGCTCGTTTACTCGTTATTCGCTAATTACTCAACTCGTTATTGATTCGATATATATGAAAAGCTTTTTACTCGCTCAAAGTGAATCGCTACTAATTACTCGTTGTATTTGATTCATAAAGCGATCTTCTTGTTTTAAAATATACTCGCCGCAAAGTTACTCGCTATGAATTACTCGTTACTAAATAGTTGTAATTTACTCGCTTTTTCATAGATAACTTCCTAATTCCCTCTCGCTCTCGTTATCTTTTACAGAACACTGGCGAATTGCCGCCCGCCAAAAAAATGGCACTCGCCGTTGGCGCCGAATTCCTTGCTAAGTGAGAGCCGCGCCCCGCAACTCGCCCAGTGGACGCAACTGGTCTGGTCACAGGCGATATACGATGCATGATTATATATATATATATATATATATATATATATATATATATGTATACAACCGATGTGTATATCGTTAGCTGTTTAGCCCAAAGGTTGTGGAGTGTGTTTTCAATTTCATATGTGTAGCTCGACTTAGCTCTACACCCAACGCTACTCTTAACTTTTATTTAAAACATCAGACACGGAGTCTTATCTGATGACACACATACACACACACACACACACACACACATACACACACACACACACGCGTACATTTATAGTTTGGTTAATTAGCGGATTATTATTATTATTATTATTATTGTATCTTGCACTCATGCTACCTACCTTTCGCCGATTTAATACGTTTTGTACCAATTTTTTGTTTAAACCTTTCGTGTCGTGGGGCGCATTTAAACATGATAAATGGATATATATATATATATATATATATATTGAATTAGTTGATAGATCATTTATTATAATAGAGCAGAGCACGATCAGAATCACACGCGATATATGATCAGGAACTAATTTTTCTATAACTAAGTTTACTTACATTTTTTTTTTTTTTTTATATATATATATATATTTTTATTTTGTATATATGTTTGTAATTTGTCGTGAGTCGTTTCGATGAATTTTGGGCCGATTTACCGATAGATTTTCGATAGGTTTTTACTTTTTTTTTTGTATAGCTGGAATGACTTAATTTTACACACGCAACGGACACACACACACACTCACTCACGGATGATTAGCTAGATAACTGCGCGCCCGCTCACACACACACACACCTTTACACACACACACACACACAGCAGGACGACAACAAAAAAAACAAGAAGCAAATAGACGGATGCGAATGCCAGCAGCAGTAGACAAAAAGTTACTACTACAATTTATGTATTTAATAATTATAATATTAATATTAATATAAAAAAAAAAAAAAAAACGAAAAAGAGAAAACAAAAAAAAGCGTGAATATTGTATAATTATAAAGCGTAAACCTAAAAGTGTAAACCAACAAAACTTTTTTTTTTCGTGCTGTAATTTAGCATAGAAACGTTTGGGTTACGCTCGTATACAACACATACACACACACACACACACACACACACACACACATACACATACACAACACACACACACAAATCATGGCAGGTGTTTGTTATGGTACAATTTTCTTATATATCATAAATTATTTTTTAAGCATTCTTAAGAGTTTTTAATTTGGATTTTTCTTTGTTTCCCAAAAGAAATACACACACACTCACACACACACTCACACATACACGCGCACACCACGCTAACAAAGTGTATACAAGAAGCGAAAAACCCGTTTAAGAACTTAAAAATAAAATCAAATATTAAAATAAATCATCGATGTTTTCATAATGCGAACGGGGCACTTATCTTTGTTTCAACTGTACCGCATGTACAGTTGCCTCCGCTCAGCGAGTTGCTTTACTCGTTACTCAACTAAGTCCAAAAATGGCATCAATCAATTAAAGATCTGGCTCGAAAGTAGCGAGAAGAATGCGGAGGGGCTGGGCGAATAATAACTGGACTTAAGCTACGGCTAAAACTATTTCATTTTAGTACCTAGTAAATCAAGTGTTGAGTAACGAGGGAACAAATTCAGAGTCTCAAAGTCAGCTTAAAAGTATGCTAGCACAAGCTGTGCCAAGAGAGTGGGAGAGAAAGAGAGAGAGAGCGAGAGAGAGGAAGAGAGTGAGAGCTTTGCGTAAGCTTTCGTTGGCCAAATGAGAGCTAGCGTTTGTTATTAATTTAGTAAAATGTCAACAGTTTGTGTTGTATGTATTTCAAATCGTACGAAATAAAACAAATAAATTCAAAATTTGAACAAAATACAAAGGGAAACGAGTTGGACACAGGCCACACGAGACGGCAACAATAACGGGAACAGCAACAGCTACAAGAGCAGGAGCAGAAGCTGGCGTTGCCAGAGGAGGGCAACAGTAGAAACTGGAGTTGCCAGAGGAGATCAACAGCAACAGCAACAGCAGGAGCTGGCGTTGCCAGAAGAGAACACTAGCACGAGCAGGAACTGGCGTTGCCAGAGACGAGCAACAGCAGGAGCTGCAGCTGGCGTTGCCAGAGAGAGTCAACTGTGGATGTGTGCGTGCGTGTGTGCGCATATGGAGTGCGCGCGTCTAAGGATCTAAAGTTTGGCAATAGCTCAGCTTGCCCCACACCCTTATACCCCACCCCACCACCGCCTGGCACGATCAACCACTGCAAGCAATTGCCCTGCTCTGCACACAATTGCACTTCCATTTAGAAGGAACATGAGCATGTTCTTCAATCGAATGCCGCTGCTGAACTGCTTCAGCGGCCCAACCGAGAGCTGCGAAGAGCTGCTGCCATTGAGCGCCGGCAGCAGCAAGGAGCCGGTCATCATCAACGTCTACGATCTGTTCAGCATTAATGAGTATGTGGTGCCGCTTGGGCTGGGCATCTTTCACACGGGCGTCCAGGTCTATGGCACGGAGTATACATATGGCGGACATAGCTTGTCCAACACGGGCATCTTTGAGATGCCGCCGCGCAGCGCCGAACAGGAGCTGGGCGAGCATTTCCATTATCGGCAGAGCATACAGCTCGGCCATACGCATTTCACGCGCGACGAAGTGCATCGCATTGTCGAGCAACTGGGCTGGCAATTTACGGGCAATAGCTATCATCTGACCAACAATAATTGCAATCATTTCACGGACTCGATGGCGCGCATCTTATGCGGCCGCCAGATACCCGGCTGGATCAATCGGCTGGCCTATTTCGTTGGCTGTGTGCCCTTCCTGGAGCGCTGTTTGCCGCCCGAGTGGCTTACGCCCATGTAGCTTAGTGGGCGTGACCCTTGTACGCATATCAATTGTGGGCGGAGACACGGGCACAGGATGATACAAAGACAGAGACAGAGACAGAGACATAAGCCAGCCCAGCCCGCCCGACGATTATTATTATTATTTTTGTTGGTTCGGCGAGGGTTGGGTTCGGCTGGACTGGACTGGGCTGGGCTGAGCTGGGTTGGGTTGGTGGGCAGCGCATCCAGGCGGTGTTTAACGCGTTTTTGTGCGTTGTGTTAACGAGTATATCGATTGCCCCCATTGGCCAGGCACGTGTGCATTTACATAGTTATTGAAATACACTTGACAACATATACGATAAATTCAATACCACCTATATTGATAGTCTAAATCTAATAAATAGTACTCACGTAAATTTAACTCAAATTGTCTCTTGTTCTCTCTGTTAGATATACTCGTCGATTATTGGTTAGGTTAGATGCGCAGCGAGTAGAAAATAGCGAGTACCGATCATAATTGTAAATAATTCTTGGATAACCTCTAGTGACTCTTGCGTAGAATTGTAAAATGTCAATGGCTGACATTGTAGCGAGTAAAAAGTAGCGAGCAGCGAGTAGCGAGTAACAAGCTAGAAATGTATACAATTATGTTACATTGTGTAATTACAGCAGTTCTTCAATTAAATACTTTTGAAGATCTTAATGTTTAAATAGTAACGAGTAAAAGGTAGCGAGTGACGCGTCACAATTGTACATAGATATGTTCTATTGTGTAAGCAAAATACTTTTAAAATTTTCGTTCTCAAAAAAGCGAGTAGAAAGTAGCTTTTGGGTAATCTTAAGTGTTTCTCTAGCAAGTAGCGAGTAAAACGTAGCGAGTGACGAGTCATTATTGTACACAATCCTGGTCTCTTTATGTGTAATCTTAGGTAATTTTAATTTTCACTAACTAAAATAGAAGCGACAAAAATGTAGCGAGCGACGAGCTTTTTGTATTTATACCAAATCGTTCCAGATGCGACGAGTAGCGAGTGATGATAATAATTGACGACCTATTAATATTTGGTATAAGGGTTGAATAAATTATAAATGAATTAATGAACTGTCTATAATAATCGTAAATAACTGAAAGTCAGTCGTTAGCTTTAAAATTACAACTTACCGTCGCTCCTTCGATTGTTTTGCCATTGGAATTGGGCAGAAGAGAGGCCGTGTCTGAGGTAGATATAAAAAATATATGACAAATGCTCGATGCTCGCATTTCGATGAATCACAATTGAAATTCTTGGGCGCCACCAAAGAATTTGCTGGCATCCGCATTTTGGGCTCCCTTCCATGACGTTGCTTTGGAGGTTGTTTATTATTTCTTTGCTGAGACACTCGTCAGTCAAATCGATAATAAGGCGAGTGGGAACAGCTCTTCTTGAAGGGGGACGCGTTCAACAAATTAATAGAAACTTAAAATGAAAACTGTTGAAAAACTAACGAAGGGCTTTTTCAAATACACCAAAGCAAATATTATATTTAAGCGCGATTTTTCATTCATTCATGAATATTTAAAATAAACAGAATTTGAGAATATAAAAGAAACTTGGGTTTGAAACATAAACTTTGTGCATTGCTGTGGACGAAATGGAACCAAGGGAAGGCACTGGTTCAACGAGTAAATTGAACCAACGACTTCTACACATACAGTTTTTGATTTAAATGGAAGCTATATAAATATAATATACATAAATAGAATATAAGCAAAAACAATTAGATAATATCAAGATTTTAAACTTATCAAAAACATTTTTTCTTTTTTTTTTTTTTTATTAGTTTTATTTATGTTTCATTTTGCTGTTGTTTGGCATAATTTGTTAAACATGTTTTTGGTTTTCATTTCGTTTTGTTTTCGTATTTAAATATATATAGTTTATGTACTTTATTATATTTTTTGGTTTTTTTGTTTTTTTTTTTTTGTTTTTTTTTAGTTTTTTTTTTGTAGTTGTATTTTGGTTGTAGTTGTTGCATCGATCGTTTCGCATTTTGCATTTTGGTTTTGGTTTAGTTTTCGTTTAGAATTAATTATTAAATTTAACTTCGGTTTATGCATTGCTTAGCTAAAAAAAATCCACTTACAATTAGTTTACACAAGTTTAAATAGTTCGAACGACGTGTACGCTTTGGGTGTATTTTTTTTTTTTTTGGTATTGGTTTTTGTTTTGTTTTTTGCGCTTAATTAGTAAGTAACGAGTGACGAGTGGCGAGTGTGATTTTGTAGCACAATTAGGACTCGTTACTTGTGGTTTGAATTTAAAAGAAACTGTGGCTTGATAAGCTAGTGACGAGTAGCAAGTAGCGAGTAGCGAGTGAACCGCAACTCGTTTCATCTGGGAGACTGTAAGACTGAGCCGAGACTCGTTATATTCGAGACTGTGTGATTGAATGCATTAGTTGTGACGAGTAGCGAGTGGCGAGTGGCGAGTGACGAGTGACGAGTAGCGAGTGTCATGTAGCTGTAGTTTAATTCGTTATTAACAATCTGTCTTATGCTAAGCGCGCCATCGCAAACTGATTTATATATTGTGTAGTATACATAGGTTATGTGCTTATGCATATGATACAATAATTTCATTTTTCTTTGCTTTTCCATTTTCTTATGCATTTTCCTTTTTTGTTTGTTTCTTTTTTTTTTTTTTAATTATAATGTCACGCTAAAATCTCAATACACAATTTCGCTTAGTAACTACGACTAGTTGCCTATTACAATATGCTTAAGTACGATTTGTTTATTTTTTCAGGGCTTATGAAAAAACCCACTAAAAAAAAAAAAAAAAAAAATATATATATATTGAATACACAGACAAAATATCAACAAGTCTTACAAGTACATTGTATATATATATATATATATGGGTTTGGGTATACGTTACGCCCACATAAATTAGAGTACGACATTCAATAGCTTAGGTATTTGAGCACACACACACACACTCGCACACACACACGCACACACACACACACACTCGCACGCACACAGCTACTTGAGATGAAATAGTTCTAAGTACATACAGACAGAGATTTATAGCTATGCCTAACTATATGCATATACTCTACATACGTATTTAAGTGCTACTCAATATATTCTATATATATACGATATACGATATACGATATATATATAAACATATATATATATATATGTCGATGTATATATATATATATATATGTATAGCTGTTGCCCATTTGACGCACTCGCTCTTAAATGATCGCAATCCAATGGCAAAAAAATTGGAATTGCGATCTTTTAAAAGAAGTCGTCAAAGGTTTTTGATTATGTTTGATATTGAAGCATCGGCGCCGATAAGTTCGGATGATGCGAGCTGTTCATGCGCAATGCGGATAGGCTTTTGTTATACCATTCGTCCTCCGGTGACATGCCTGCGAAATGCATAAAGCAGACAAATCGAGTAAAATGGAGAAATGGCCAAAACGAGCAGCAAATAAAACAACTAAGAGGTTCTAATCGGGTGCTCCCGACTAGGGCATACCCTAAACTCATTTTCAACCAACACCAAATTCAAATATCTCTACTATTCTAGTAGCTACTTGTCAAGTTTGGTGACTCTAGCTCTGAATATTTACAGAAATTGCTCAAAATAAAACACATTTTCGATATCGATTTTTATCGATTAATCGATATCGATATCAAGTCTCTAGCTCGTATAGGACAGACAGACGGACATGGCGACTCGACTGCTGATGCTGATCAAGAATATATATACTTTATGGCTTCGAAGATGTTCCCTTCTGCCTGTTACATACGTTTGCACAAATACATTATACCCGCTTTTAACCAGCTTGAAGGGTATAATGTATTCGATTAGAGATTAGCTCTGGTGTCGATTGAATCAACAGCTCCTTATGCATATTCATGATTATTTAAGATTTCCGCTGCGTAAACGAAAAATGGGCAACAGGACACGGGACACGGGACACGGGACACAGGATGTTCGCCTAACTGGACATGCGACTTGAGAAATTTGTCTTGACTTATTTTTGCTTGCTTGCTTCTTCTTCTTTTTTGTTGGGCTCCTTGAAATGTGCTTGGCCGGAAATTCATTTGCTGATTCGTCGTCGCCTTGCTTAATCCCCACTCTCCCCCACTCCCCCCCCCTCGCTCTCTCTCTCTCTCTCTCATAATATCCGGTTAGGTAGTCAACGCCTCAATTCCCCCCTCATTCGACATGTGCGCATATAAATACAAGTATTATATATGTCTAATATATCAATAATACTCCCGTATTTACGCTTATCTTTCGGTTTTGTTTATGGCTCCATTTGAAACACCTTCTCCCCTACCGCGCCCCGCCCCGCCCCGCTCTACCTCTCGCTCTCCCTCGCTCGGGCTGACGGCGCGACGGCGTCTTTCAGTATGCGTTCAATAAACAAAAAATCGAACCTCAGACAAACGACTCGGATTAATGGAGCCGCATTCGAACGGAAAATTTGCTTACTATTTGCCATAATATTCATAATTGATTTATTTACCAGCTAATTGTTTAAATAATAATATCAATCTATGAGGTTTTCCCATGAAGTTTCAATTTGTCATCAATGTAATTCGCTAACTTGAAGGACTCTCTGGTATAATTTGTAATATTCCTTAAATATAATTCTACTCGAAGCGCAATGCTTCTTCAGAAGAGGGAGAGAGCAAGAGCGAGAGAGGGAGAGAGCGCTAAGCTTTTGCGACTCTTTGTGGGCATTATTGAAATTAACGAAGGTAAACGCAGCTTTTTTCACGTTCTCCCGTATTCAAAGATTCGAAACACAAGCTAAACAAATCAAAGAAGCGATATTAGTTGAGAGAGTGATGGAATAATTTTCAAAAAAAACATGACCGTTTTTTTTTAAAAAGTGGCAACCATTTGAAAGAGAGAGAGAGATGGAATCAATTTCCAAAAAAAAAAAAAAAAATATGGCCACAATTTGTAATTGCACATGGAAAACAAAAGGTGGCAACCAATTAAAGAACTGTGACGTCACAGCGCAGATTGGCGCGCGCGCGATCTTGTCGCGGCGCGAGGCTCAGTGCGCATGCTCAAGCCAAGCTAAAGCCGAGAGAGCCAAAGCTCAAGAAAATGAGAGACGCGCGCGTAAGTGAAAGCTGCCAGCGGGCGATCGGTGCGAGCACCTAAAAAAGGCCAAAACAGTTGTGAAACGTTTTTAATTAGTTGGCGACCAGCGACGGGCCAGGACGTTGACGCAGCGCGATAAAGAACGCAAGAGAACAAGTGCAAAGCAAAGAAGAAGCAAGAAAGTGAAAAGACAAACGTGAGTAATGCCTGCCAATTCGAGTTACTATCGATAGCTGTTGTTGTTGTTGTTGTTGCTGCTCTTCTTGTTGTCGTTGTTGTTGTTGTTGTTGTCAAACTTACCCATCGAGTCCTGGCGCACGCCCACGGAGCCCATATTCGTGCTGTGCGCCATTGAAAATGGCTGCGTCATGCCCGGATAGGAGGAGGCGCCCATTTGGAACAGATCCTGCAAGGGTTAAATAAGTTAAGAGTGTGTGCGTGTGCGTGTGTGCGTGTGTGCGTCTGCCTTACCTGGGGATAACGGTTCATGGTGTTGTGGTGTGGATACGGCTGATAGCCGCGGGACACGCTATAGCCTTGAATGTTCCGCATCATGCCATTGCACGACGGGATCACAGATGGTGCCAATGCCTTTTGCAGCTGCTTCTCCTGCTTGCGGTATTTGGCGCGTCGATTCTGAAACCAAACCTGCAACAAAGGCAACAGCAAATTGTTTGAGAATGGCACCAAAAAAAAAAAAACCAAGAGAAATGGAAGAATGCAATTAAAGCGTTGCCGGACCTTTAAGTTGTTTTCGAAATTAACCAAACGCCTGCCGCAGCACTTGGGCAACGCTGTGCGCAGGAAGCGGCAGAAAACAGAGTGCAGAAAAAAAAAAATAAAACGAAAATAAAATGAAAAGCGGATGATGGCAAAAAGGCAACAACATGGCAAAGCCCCCCCCTGCCCTACCCCTTACCAGCACACGCCTAAGACTGGGGGCGTCGTCTGTCGTCGTCTTATGAGTGAAAAAATCTACAAAATTGAAATTGAAAATAAGTTGACGACGCTGTTTGCAAGCGCGCAAGGCGGACAAGGGAGTGGGAGGAGTGCGAGGAGGGGGGAGAGTGCGAGGTTGGTTGGGTTCTGCTTAGACATTATTAAAGATGGTCCTCACGATTGCGACTGGGTAAGACAGATGGCTGGAGAGGTAGGAGGGCGAAAAGAAATTGCCAAGATGAAAGCCCGCGCCCCAGCATAGACAACAAGTGCGGCGAAGGGGGAGCGAGGGCCGGGCGGGGGGTTGCTGAGTTGGTTTGTGTAAAAATTTCCGACATTTTGAAAGCTGCGCTCAGCTTGCTTTGAGTTGCTTACAAGACGAAACGTAGCGCCTGTAATGGCGGGCCCAGACAACTTGACGGGGTAGGGGACGGCTGTCAGTATGTGTATGTGTGTGTGTGTGTGTGTGTGTAGATGGTGGTTGCGAACGGTTGTTGCTGTTTTTGTTGTTTTTGTTGTTGTTGGGCTTGTGCCTGACGTCTTCTCGGACGTCTTTGGCATTTTTCTTGTATTTATTTTATCATTATTATTATCTTTGTCCATGACTATGTGTGTGAGTGTGTGTGTGTGTGTTGGTTTTAATGAAAAATACAAGCTTGCCTGACTGCCCGCCTGCCTGACTGCCTGCCTGCTTGCCTGCCTGGCAGCTTGCCCCCGCCCTGCCCTCACCCGCTTTGGGGGTTGTTTTGTGTGCCCACTTGATGGCTCGTTCGGTTTCATTTGGTTGGCTGCCAGCATAAAAATGCCAGCCCAGCATGTATGTGTGTATATGTGTGTAATTGTGTGTGTGTGTGTGTGTGTGTGTGTGTGTGTGTGTGTGCTTGTGTGCTTGCGTATGTATGTGTGCGTGTAAAAAATGCTCTTAACCATGAGCCCGAGCTGTTTGTTGGAGGGTTGAAACTGGTCCGACTGTCTGTCTGGTAAGCTAGTGTGCGTGTGTGTATGCGTGTGTGTGTGTGTGTGTGTGTGTGTGTGTGTGTGTGTGTGGGCGGAGTAACTCAATTAAGGATCCATTTGATGGCACACACACACACACACACAGCCATACAAATAGATGCACATACACAAAAATAAAATGGCAAAAATAAAAATGGATGTAAAAAAAAGGAAAGAAAAGGAAACAATAAATTGTAAAATCGAGCGCAGAACTTTGCTATACCCTATATATATATATATATATATATATATATGCCTAATATTTTAGGCTTAGATTCTTATTTCTTTACTTATTTTACGTTTTTTTTCATGCACAAATTTGAAGCTCTGTTTTATACAGTATTTGCATTCCAATATGAAAAATGAATTTGTCTTAAGAAAATACTACAATTTTCCTTAGATAAAAGATAAGACAAATTGAACTTGAATTGAATTGACAATTTGAACTGTGAGGACTATTAAAATAAATGTTTTTACATTTTTTCTTATCAACAAGTTTTGGTAAAAGCTCTTTTTAATTTTTTTATAACTTGAGGCTAAGCAAAAAAAAAAGAAAATTTTTTTTTAACAAATTGAGGCCTAAAAAAAATGTTTCTAAATTTTTTAGCAAAAAGTTCTTCTTAACATTTTTAAATTTTGTTACCATCTTGAAGCTTAGTAAGAATATATTATTATTTTTTTTTTACCATTCTTATTTATTGTTATTCTTATTTTTGTTAACCGTCTTCTCTTCTCTCTGAATTCGCTTCTCTTTATTTTGTGTACCATCTTGAGGCTTATAAAAAAAATGTTTTAAACCATTTTTGCCAACTTAAAAAAAAGGGTTTTCATATTTTTTGTACCAATCAGATTTAATCAAAACTGGCTTAAGTTCTTTTTTTTTTAGCATCTTGAGGCTTACTAAAAAAATTGTCTTTATTTATTTTTTACCATTGCCGCTTGATGCAAAATGTTTTTCAACTATTTCAAGATATTGAGACTCATTGAAAACTGTGTTAAAATTGTTTTTTTTCTTCGTATCAGCTACACCTTCGTGCAAGAAAGTATTGAATAAAGTTGTTTGCAGCTTAGTTTGAGATAATTGAGACTGTGTTATGAGCAATTTATGGTTGAGCTTTTGCTTTATACTCTAATTAGCTATGCAAAAGTTATTCAAAAAAGAGTTCCTGTTTTTTTTTTTTTTTAAGCATAGAACCAAATTTATTTAGCGCCGTTTTGACATCTTTTCGATGGCTTTCATTTCTGTGGCTAATCTAAATAATTAGATAAATGTAAATTATAACTACAAATAACCATGCACACACACACACACACACACACACACGCACACACATGTTGTTGTTGTTGCCGCGACGGAAATATGAAAATTAAACGTATTCAAATTGAATTTACTTTCAACATTTAATCAAATTTTGACCCGCATAACGTTCAGTGCAATGTTTTGTGTGTTTTTTGGTTTTTTCAATTCAACAACGTTTAGGTTTTATTCTTGTTGTTGTTGTTGTTCTCGTTGTTGTTGTTGTTGCTTCAAAGTTAGCTGAACTTTTGGCAATGTCTGCGGTGCGTTGACCTACAAAACGGCATCTAAACCAAACTGCAATCACAAATTGTTATCTACTATAGCCAGAAGAAAAAAACAAAAATGATGCACGCATGCAAAATATTAAGAGTTCATAAATAAGCGCATGCCAATTGGAGTCCAATTGGAATCCATTTCACTTGAGCTGGCATTAAAAACGGTTTGTTTTGAGGCATAAATCAGACACGCTTCGTATACTCTGCTTAAGAGAGAAAGAGAGAGAGAGAGAGAGCAGACGCGCCCATAACTGGAATATATATATATTCTTGATCAGCAGGAATGGCTGCGTATATACTGCATACATATATATTTTCGATCAGTGGCAATTGTTGAGCATATTTAGCCACAGACACAGAAGAAGACATCTGCGACTTTATAAGGTATATATATATATATATTCCTGATCATAAGAAATTGCTGAGACACAACATATATATTCCCGATCTCCCAATCTGATTTTTTGCCTATCTGAAATTTTGCCTAGTTACAAGACTCCGTAAGAAATGGAACACCACATATCATATCGTTGTCATAGTAAGAATTGGTTGCAAACAGGATTTGTCTAAAGTTCTTCAGTTGATGCAAATAACTCTTTCGACTTCTAACACATAAGTAACACAAGTCAGCATACTACATGATAAGGTTCGATAGAGTGAAACGCTTTAATATATAGAAAACTTCTCGAATTGCTCAGAAATCTCGAACAAAATGAGCTCATAAAGAGCTGCACAACTATCGCAAGATATCTGCAAATCCGTAAGCCTCATGTCTACAAGAGTATTCGAAATTCGTTCTAGTTCTTTCCTATATCCATTTCTGCCTTTGACAGAATTGTTCCGTATGTCTAGAATGCTAAATAAAAACTCTTTAAAGTCTTTTTTTTTTACAGTTTTCGCAATAAAAACTTCTTTATGTGTCTTTTATTCAATACCCATTCGAAGTGCAGCAGATAGAATATCAATTGTCGCTTGTAATTCTCAAGCAGTTAAAGCATGCCTTGCTCTTGCTTAACTCTTAAATATTGTTCTCCAATTGGAAATGTTTCAAGAACTCGAATTGATTATATTTATTGCCTACTTATTGGCGCGATGCCCCCCCTCTTTCACTCTTTCTGTCTCTGAATATATATTACTGTAATTGGCGAAACGAGCTGAAATGCATTTAATTCGCTTTGCAGCTGATAAAAAGTAGCTTTTGTTTTATAAACATATCCTGAAAAAAAAACCAGTTTGCAGCAAATTGTGTTTTATTTTACTTCTTTGTTTTGTTTTAGCAAAAGTCACGCTTCATATTTCCCATTTGAATTCGCGTGAAACAATGCCGAATCGATTAAACGATAACAAAAATACAAAAAAAAAAAAAAAAATGAAACCGATAAACAGACATTCGAGATGAGACTGTTTTTTTTTCTTTCTTTCTTTCATTCTGTTGGCCCTCATTTTGTTTACTTTGCCCAGCTATTGTTCATTGTATTATGAGCCAGCCTGCCCCCCCTCCCCCCCCATTGTACACCCCTAAAGCTTTTGTTTACACGCATGCCCTATTATATCGCTTGCATATAAAACGTTTTTATCGGGCCTTCATAATTCGATTATTGGCAAAATGCATGAATGTTAATACGTTTCTGTGCCCGAGCCCAATTGAAATTGGGCAAGCAAAAAAGCACAATGTTTTTCTGCAAATCCAATTAACAGACAGAAGGCGGCATCTGCAATCCCATTAGCTATGCACACACACATATATATATATCAGGAATATATATATTTATATATATATATATATATATATATATATATATATATATATATATAAATATATATATTCCTGATCAGCTTGTCGAGCTGAGGCATCTCTGTCTGTGACAGAGACTCGAAATTCGGCATAAATAATCTCTTTACTTCGATTATATCGATTTTGAGATCTGCTTTTCTAAGCTAAGCTGGCGAAGAAGAGGAAAAACTCCTCGAATTGAGGCTTTGCATTGTAGAGAACTCAATTCAGGAGTTAAAGCCTTGCACTTTGGTATCTACGCACTTTTGTAGGCCAACTTAAAGCCCTGCGAATATCATAAAGATCGGACTGTGAACAGCCAAGTTAAATGGGACTGTTTTATCCATATATGATCAGGGTCAGAAGCGAAGAGCAAGCACAATTACATTTATTATGAAGAGTGTAGAGTGTGAGGGTCGTGGAACGTGCAACGCTTAGAAGGAGAAGACTTCGATTCCATGCGGTAAAAGTATATACATATATAAAAGTATATACATATATTCTAGATCAGCATCAATAGACATGTCTGTCTGTTCGTCTGTCCATTTCTATGCGAACTAGTCTCTCAGTTTTATGGATATCATCTTGAAACTTTACATTCATCTATCTTTAGCTGTTGCTGGCACTTCCTTTTATCGGATCGGGCCACTATGGCATATTGTTATATCATATAGGAACACGCGAAAAGTAGATTCTTGTATAAACTCTAGTATGAAGCACTTTATTCTTTAGCAAGATATCTTTATGCTTAACAGATCGGAAAACTATATCATATAGTTGCCGTCGTTTTTTATTAAACTCAGCATTTACGAGCGAGCTTCTCTCTTCTTACTTATCTACAGAGGCATCTTCTTTTCTTCTGCTTTTATTTTGTACGTGTCGAAGAAAGCTAAGGGCTACCTTTTAGGGCAACACCCGACTAGAGGACGCTTGTCCTTATCTTTATCTTTATCTCATCGTATCTTATCTTAAATTCATATCATCAAGGAACAGCTGCTATATGATATAGTTGTCATAGGAACAATCGGTATAGATTTGATGTGTAGCATAAAAACCCTAATTTCTACAGAGCTGAAGCCTTTTAGCTTTTTTCCAGCTAACTTTAAAGCTAGCTTAACTAGTTTTTCAGTTCTTCCAATTGCAAGCAGTAGGCCACAAAAACTCTAATTGGGCTATGACAAATTCGAATTTGAGTTGAGCAGCAAAAATGAATATGTGAGAGATATTTTTTTTTTGTTTTTTTTGGGGTATGCGATTTTCCAAGCAGATGTGGCTGGCAACGCCTTTTCAGACGCCCCTGGGCAACGAATTTGCAATAAAATTTCTACACGACAAATTTCGTCAACAGCAACTCACAAATTGTTGTTGTTGTTGTTGTTGTTGCTGTTGTTGCTGTTGTTAAGTGAGTGCCAGAGTCAAGTTGTAAGCGCACTCGTCAAATTACCAACGGCAAAAGGAAAACCTGTCTCACTCTCTCTCCCTCTTGCTCTTCTATATTATTAGAGGGTTGCGGTCGCTGGTTCGAGTCCGCGAGACAAGGGTTGGCGTGTGTAAATATTTGAACATTTGTAGAAAAATATGGTTTATGCTGTGCTAATAGCCCGGCATTTGCCTGTCATTTGATCGCCAACAAATGTCCTGATTCGGCATTAGTTTTAAGATACCCGCAACCCGCAAGCCCTCACCCCCTCATCCCCTCATCCGTTTCAGATTTAGATTGTTAACATTTCAATCAGTTGTTTGTTCTGCGCACATAATTATCAGATCAAGCCATATATAGATACATATGCATTGTCCCTTGCCGCGCACAATTCTCTAGAGCTCTCGCTTGAAAGCACTTTAAAGAGCTTCAAGCAAATGCAAAGCAAAAGCTGTTCAGGCTGTGTTAGCTATCTTTCAGCTTTAGACTAGAATTATGAGTAGAGCTTTGAGCTGTGCTTCCTCTTCGCTTCTGAACCTGATCATATATGGATAAAGCAGTATTATTTAACTTGGCTGTTCACAGTCTGTTCTTTATGATATTGAATATTGAATATTGTAAACTTCTTTATTTTCTAATTTGCCGATTTCCTCTTCTACTTTTAGAGTGACCAACTTCTTATATACTGCTTGTACTACAATTCCTTTACAACACTGTATGTTGACTTTTGACTTTTAAAAGTTTATTTGAATTTTCACATTATTGTAAATGTACTTAGTATAAAGTCTATTTGGTTGGAGCTGCTGTCTTCTGCCTCTTCAAACACATTTGGAATGTGTTGTGGGCCTAAAAAGCCTTTTTCTCAAACGTTTTACAACACTAAAATTGCCCAAACTCTCGCACTTCTACAACTTTAACGCCGCTTCATGAATAAGCTATGGCTAAAAATGCACTCATAGTTAGCTGGCAGCCAGCCAGGCATGTGTGTGTGTGTGTGTGTGGTTGTGTGTGTGTGTGTGTGTGCTCCACTTAGCCAGGACTCTTTCAGCTAGGGAATCTTGCTGGTAAAATCTGTGATTTTTAGCCGCCTTTGTGACATGTAATTCTACACCTCAAATGGCAAAATGAAATGCGCTCTCAGCACCACTTTTAGCCCTGCCATATAGATGGGAGAGTGGGAGGGTCGGTGTTGTATAGAGCTCGACAACCCTAGCCGGCAACCCTAACCACAGCGAAGTCGGCGACACCACCCGCTGCACTCACTTGTTTCGCGAGTCATGATAAAAACTATAAATTAATTATTACCGCGGCGCACTTGAAAGCGCAACAGAGTCGCAGCGCAGACAGGGGCGGGGCCAGGGGCAGGGACGTGGCGTGGGGGCGGGAGGCGAAGGCACACACACATACACACACATGTGCCCCGGGGGTCGGCTTGTTCGACTAGGCTGGCCTGGTCTATCGTGTCGCCCGGAGAGCACTTTAGAGCGACACCCAAAAGCGAAGCATTCAATTGGAATAATCGCGCACTAATCGTCTAACCGAGATCATCGGCGGATTGTCGGCTAAAAAGGATGGGCGAGCGGAGTTGGGTGCGGGGGGAGGGGTGGGGTTTGGTGGTTGGCCCTAAATCGCATCAGTGCACAAATTGCCTACGCTGGATGCGAATGCGTCTGCTCAAAGACCAATTCAGTTGAACAACTGTTGCAATAAATAGCAAATCAGCCCCTGTCAGCGCAGCTCGATAACTTTATCAAACGATACATATCGATTTAGAGCTTATACGAAAAACGCTTTCAATTTGGAGGCATTTTTGTAAACATTCTTCTCGCTTACTTTATAAAAAGATACGTATCAATAGCAGCTTCCAGCTTTAAAGAGACTTTTTGTGTATCGAACACAGCACACGTTTACTTTTGTGTCGATAACTTGACCCATCGATACTTATCGGTTTTTAGTTTTTGATTTCTCAAAGACTTCTTGTACATATTTGGAACACAGTATATTCTTCCGTTTTTTTCGAGTACTTTATGTATCGATACATATCGATTTTCAGTTTACAATCTAGGCCGATAACTTTATATATCGATACATTCAGATTTTCAGCTTTCAATCTTGTTAAACGCATCGAATTTATAGATTCAGATTTTATATAACATAGCATGTGTTTGCACTTTTTGTCGTTAACTTTATGTATCGATACATATCGATCATCGGCTAGGTTGCTTTTATCGAAAACTTTATGCATCGATTTGAGAAGAAAGCAAAGTTGACTTTTTTCGATAACTTTGGCTATCGACTCAGCAGCAATTCAATCCTCGTAACTCCTGATCAGCTGGCTTGATAGAGCGACAAACACAAGACTTCTAAGTAGCTACATCTATATTATTTTTATTTGACTTGAAATGTGGGCTCTCAGATAAAGTTTCGTTATGTCTATCGATGAACCTAACGAAAAGCGATAAGTATCACATTTAAATATCTGCCCAAAATTGACACTTTAAAGGGAATACCCTTGATCTTTGGTAAATACGCACAATAAAACCCCATCTTCAATAAGATGAAAAGCTCAAAAGTTATTTCTGAATACAATTTCCATATTTGCGGGCCGTGACGCGGTCGTGCACACTCGTTTAGTTACATATTTCTAGGGTATTTTTGGTACTCACTTGTATTCGGGCCTCGTTTAGCTTTGTCGTGCGCGCCAGCTCCTCGCGACAGTAAATATCCGGGTAATGCGATTTGGCGAATGCAGCTTCCAGTTCAGCTAATTGTTCCTGAAATTAAGCGGATTTTAATTAGGCTAATTTGTTGTTATATAAGCTGCACTCGCGCAAATACTCTCGCTCACGCTCTCTCTCTCTCTCTCTGTCTTACTATTTAATTTTGTTTTTTTTTTTTTTAAATATTCGTGACTTTTTGCTGCTTGTTTATTTTGGCACAGCTGAATAAGGCAGTCGCTGAGGTTGTGAGGGGGGGAGGGGCTGGGCAGTGCCACGCCCCCATCCGCTGAACATAGCCAGAACATTTTCTATTCCCATTGCTCACTTTCAGCGTCGAAATGCAAATTGTGTTGCCTACTTTGGGGCATGTCAAAAGTTTCAGAACTGCCAACACCGAATTTCCATTAGAAAGCAGTGTTGAAAAGTGAACAGCGAAACCAAAAACGAAAAAGAAAAAACACTAATACTGCCTTAAGCCGAGACAGACTGCAACTGGAGCTTAGTTGGCTGTCAAAGCAGTCTATGCTGAGCTGTCGCTAGCCTTAAGAGTTATCGAATTATCGATTGCTTGAGCCAAGCTGAAGCTAAACGCGCTGTAGTATCGTTAATTACACAGCCATATAACCATATGTTAGCTTTCAAGTGTGACCATAGCTAGGAACTAGTAACTATGGTCACACCTTAAAGCTAATATACGTTTGAATATCTGATATCCTATTTAGTTTCGCTTTATGAAGCTGATTTTCTACAATTATGAATACTGGTTTTAGCTTAATGTTCATATAATCTCTTAGGAATGTATCGAATGCATATTTATGAGATTCAAGCAATGTATGTATTGATATATAATCACAAGTGATGTCTTTCACGTTGTATCGAAGTTGGAGAAAAGACAAACTCGATACTTGACTTATTTGTTCAGCTGGCTCGAGGTCCGTCAACTAAACAAACATGTATTAAATTGAAAGTTCGCCAAAAGCCAAATAAAAATATAGAATAGGGTAAAAGAAAACAAACTTGCCAGCTAATAGGTTTTAATTAAAGCAATGCAAAAGCTGGAGACTCTCATGCTAAGCGCGGCAAGAGCTTATTATTATTTTTTTCATCGACCAATGTCGATATATATTTATGTTGAGATGAACGTTTTTTGGGCATAGCCCGTTATTAATGAATCTTGTATAATCTATATAGATCCGGAATATTTCGCCTTTTGAATACCTCTTAGTTACCTTATAATTGTCAGATATTCAGTCTCGCAGCTATAAACTAGGATTTCGGTATTGCAAATATGTATATGCATCGGACAATAGAGTCCGACGCGCGCGTAATTTGCGCTCTATACGAAATTGTCAACTAGTTTGTGTCCAACATGTCTTTGGTTGGCTTTTATTAGGTTAAGTTAAAGATTTTTATTCAAAAAATAGGTTTTATTAACTAAAAGTTTGTTTTGTTCGTTTTTGCTGCAACTGTTTGATAATAAAAAAAGTTGTTTGAATTTGAAACGCTTTAGATTAAAAAAAAACGGATTGTTTACAGCACTACTGCGGACGTTTTGCAACACTTGGTTGCACTTTGAACGCGTCTGCTGATTAGATTTCTAATCATGATTAAATATCGCCTCGTTTAGGCTGTAACGCGACGAGGAACAACAACAACCGAGGGAAGATACTTGTTGTTGTTGTTAGCTCGACGTTAACTTGGAAAATGCCAAAGTTTTAATTACAAGCGTAACCTTCACGAAATCTAATTAAAATTTCTCACTACGTGCAGCAGCAAAATGGAGTTTGGGGTAGACAGAGAGTGAGAAAGAGAGAAAGCGATAAAGAGAGAGAGAGAGAGAGAGAGAGAGAGAGAGAGAGCGCAGCAGGGAATACCCCTAATGTATGTAGATGAGCTCCATAAAAATGTATATACATATGTATGTGTGTATATCCTGGCACTGACCTGTGTGAATGTGGTTCGATGTCTTCGTCTGGCTGGCGTTGGGCAGGATGCTGTGGTTGGGGTATGCCCGGCATGCTGACTCAGCGAGGAGAGTCCACTTCCGGGCGATGTGATGCCGGCGGAAACCGTTGACAGGCCGCTGTTGGGTTCCGGTTTGAGTTTCTTGAATGCACCTTCGGCTGCAATAAAATATAAATCATAATTATTATCTATATATAAAAGACTAAAAAAGACTGCCCGACTGTTTGGCGATCGGCCGTAAGCGCTAGGTCAGCAGACATGGTCACTAAGACGGAGTTTTCGACAGAATTCAACTTCCAAGTGGGGTTAAATTGCGAACAAAGTTGTAAGTTTAAGTTCACTGAGCGTCGGACCTACGAGTGAGAAGTTATCAAGTTCAAATTCATCAAGAATTCTCAATAAATGTCTGCGTCTCTCGAAATCTTCATTTTTACGCATGTTTATTTAATTTGCTTTATGAGCCTGCATATCTGGAGTGGGCTAAATGTCGCTAGAAGTCGCTGGTTCAAATTCAACAGAAATTTTTATTTCTTATAGCTCGAAGATGCTGTTTCAAATGGAGCTGATGTTTTTTATTTTTATCCCATTTTATTTTATTTGTCCTATAAGCCTGTATGGAAATTTCTGTACTTAGGATCAACAAGCTAAGAAGTTGCTGGTTCAAATCTAGCAAAAATTGTTCCCTTTTATGCTGGTTTATTTGATTAACTCTATGGGGCTATAATCTCTAAATGTTTTGGCGTTGAACCAGCAAGCGAGAAGTCGCCGGCTCAAATCACGCAAAAATGTTTATGCCTACAACAAAAAAGCGAAAGTATTAAACTTTTTTAAACGAATAATTCAAGTTTTTCTATACGTTCCATTTTTCTGTGTGTATTATGCGTATTTTCCACCGAATTTAATTGAGCCGGGCGCCGCCGGGTAATTTATTTTAAGCGAAAAGTAGGCAACACGAATTTAATGTTTTCTGTTTACGGCTGGCGTTTAATATGCGGCAAACGATTATCCTGCCCACTCTGCCATTGCCCGCATGTTGCATAATTATGCCCCAACAACAACAACGAGGAGGAAGAGGAGGATGAGGCGAAGGAGGAGCAGCAGGCGAACAACAACAACAAGAATGGCGACCGCAGTGCGGCCACAAGACATCGCGACGACGTCTCCTTGTCCAGAGTTTTGGGTCACGTCGCCGGGTCGCATGAATATGCAATATGGGATAATTTATGCAAATTTCTGCCACATTAATCGAGCTGGCGTTCGCCGGGCCACCTGGCTGCCACCTGGCTGCTGCCAAAAGGCGGCAAATTACACGGCCAAAGGTCAAAGCGCAGCGCAAGCTAAGCTGGCCGCAAGTAGGGAACAGAGGGCGGGCAAACAGCTTTAGCTACAGCTTGGCAGGAAGTCATCAGAGCCGCTGCCCTCTGAACTCTGACCTCTGTCCTGCCGTTGCCGCCGCCGCCGCCGCCGCTTCGAGCTTGGCGCTTAATTGGCGCGCTTAGCTCGTTAACAAAATTTAAACTATGTATAAATTTTTGGGGCCGGTTCGCACTAATTGAATTGAATAACACACAAAAGCGCTCGCTACCCATTTTGCCCCCATTGACCCCGCCCACAGGTGGGCGTAAAGGTGCCATTTATTTATGTTAAGCTAGTCTCATTTGCCTCCCTCTTCCACACACTCTCTCTCTCTCTCTTTTGCTCTCTTTTGCTCTCTTGACCTTGCGGTCGGGCCTGGCCAACAAGGTCAAATAGCTAAACGCGTGTCCGGTTTTGCACATTTCCGTTTTTGTGCTCTTTTTTCAAAAGCGATCCTCCAAACATTTAATCAAATAAACTCTATTATATAACAGGCGCGGGCAAACTGTGCTCAAGCTTAACTAATTTTCTGTTTAAAAAAAACTCTGAAATTGCCTTTAAAGATTTATGCCGCAATCAATTGAGAATTCTCTATATTGTATATCTATCAATTGCCGTACTCCAGCTTGGTTCTTAATGCTCCTCAAAAAAACTCTCGAGTTGCCTTTAAAGAACATTTGCCTTAACCAATTGCGAATTATAAGCGCGTTCTTGTCAGCGTTGCCAGATCAAAGCGGCAACTCACTTGCTAATTTGTAGTCTTTTATAAAATAATTGATAAATATTGGAAATTGATGCATAATATTTGATTCTATACAAATTCATATATCTAGTTTAAAGCAGTTGAAGATCTTAGGATTGCATATTATTTCGGAACTTTTTTTTAACAAGTTTACTCAAAGCAATTTAAATAGATATTTCTGTGAGATTTTATTCTCCCAATTTTTATTCCTGTACAAATCAACTTTGTAAGAAGAATCTATATGAAGTCTTTCTATCAAGACTTTTGAAAATACCTACTGAGAACTCGGAGAATATTGAAAAACTTATTTAGTTAATTATTTTATTATGATTAAATAATTAAGACAATATACTACTCTTGCAATTCTTTCTTTAGTTTCATATCAGAAACATGAATCGAAGCTTAATTATAAGAACATTTTCGAATTAAACTATTTCCTTCATGCTTTCCCTCTAAGGTCTAATTTAAAGGTCTCTTGGGCACTCGCAAACTTTTCTGAGCATTCACATTCAAGTTGTTGCAATTTCCAGCCGATTTAGAGAATTTTTCAGAGCAGTACATAATAAATAGTTGGCGAAAGAACTTTGTCTTAAGGCTGGCATCTAAAAGATATATCTCCGATCGATCGAATGAGAGTTTTTTTTTAGTTCTATTTAAGATTTCATTGATGTGCCGTCGGGAGTACAAGATATATAGACAGATAGACAGACAGATAGAAAAGATATAGAGAGAAGTTGCCTTCTAGTCTTTATGATATATATAAATTCTGGTTGATCTCGTTCATTCATTTATCTATCAGCTTCTTGGATTTTCAGCTTAAAAGCTCTCCGAATAAAACTGCACAAAGTAGCATTCATTATTTTTTTTGCATACATCGAAGTCGGTCGATTATCACAGACTATATATTCTATATCATAAAGTTCCAATTGGAACAAACGCTCGTAAAGCAACTTTTGTGTAAGCTTCAGAAAATTAGCTAAAATTGAACATAACTAAACGCAGCAATAACCAAATTAATTTGCTTCTAATCAATAGACAAATTCGTATTCAAATCAAAATTCTATAACATAAAGTTCTTATCGGAAGAATCGCTTAAAAAAGGAGCTCTTATCAGCGCAACTTTTTGTTGCCTCAAGATATTCATAACAAAGTTTTTACCATAACTCAACATTGGCATATAAATGGTCTTCTGATTTTATCATTTATATAGTCATAAGTTTAGACTGATTATTCCTATATACTATATAATATCATTAAGCGATTTATATACCATTGCTGGGAATGGGACTGTTCCTATATATATTATTATAATTATAAAGGCTCTGCATCCATCCATATATTATATATATTCCTGATATTCGATATACTACGACAACTCAAACTATAAATTTGATATTAACATTCTTCCATATCAAATGTGGCCTGTTCTTCGATAATTCTTGGCATTTTTATAATATCGATTTTGAGATATATTTATTTAAGTTCAATTCGAGAATTATAAGTGCTAGGCAGACCAAAATCGACAAATTGACTCTCTTTTAGTCTAAACACACTTGGAATATTTGGATTTTGTATATCTTCCAACTATTTGCCCAGGAATTGGCCTAAGCGAATTAAAGTAAGCTATAGCCCTGCGCCTTGGCATCCACACACTTTTTTATGCTATAATCAAGCGCCGAAAATTTCAACCAGATCGGACTATAAACAACTTAGTTACATAAGGTCGCATTTTGAATATATTGTCTGGGGGAAAAGAGTAGAAGCAGTAGAAGAAGCAGAATTGAGGCGTGTAACTTTCGAGTCGAGAGTATTTCGAGACTTGTTTTGAGAAAAAGTTGCATTGAATCAACAATATTCATCGAAAATTCGCAGCAGCACAAAGCTGGGCTATACAAAGGATTCACTCCTGCTGGAAGGATGTGTGTTCTGGGCGCAGCTGAGTTTTATTCTACTGTATTCTTGTATTCTTGTAATTTGAATGCCTTTTGGGTGTCACAACAATTGCGCTAAGCCGATTGAAATGTGCGCCAAAAAGGGCAAGCGCGAGGGTCGGATTGGGTCGGGTCGGGTCGGGTCGGGTCAGCAGCAGGCGATAATCCTTGGCCCGGACGCGTGGCCAGAGCAAAAGGAGACAATGGGTTAAGAGCTCTGCCAAAAGGGCTAATGTGCTTACCTGATATGGTGTGATCGGAGAGGCGCGAGGGCGGCGTATGTGCCGGCGTATGATGGTGCGAGGACGAGTCCATGCCGGGCGTGGGCAGGCCCGAGTAGAGGGCGCTGAAGTCCTCGGGCGTGCTGCTGCATTTGCGCTGATGGTTGAGCGAGGAGGAGGATGACTTGTCCAGCGTGGTGATCGGCGAGCGTGTATCCTGCACGGACGTGGCCAAGCTGAGCAGGCGGTTCTCGTGTGCGCCGCCGATGCCCATCAGGCGATTATCCTGGAACGACATAAATTTCGTGTCCTGCGGTACGCCGCCGCCGCCGCCGCCACCACCGCCGCCGCCGCCTGCGTGCTGCATGCTGCTGGCATGATCCTCGAGCAGGCCCTGCTGCAGGCCGAGCAGGCCACCGACCAGATTCGGACGCAGCTCGTCCATGCTCAGCTTGGCCGCCTGGCCGCAAGCGCCGGCCGCCGAAAAGTTCAGCTGCCGGCTAAATATGGCCGGAAATATGTTGAACTGCTGCGAATCGGCGCTCGATTGCGGACTCAGCCCCAGACTGTGCGGCGCCACGTGCGGCAGGGACGTGCCGCTGGCCACAGATGCCGCTGTAACGCCCGATACGGACGCCGATGCGGCGCTGGCAGCGGCCGCAGCAGCTGCGGCGGCGGCGGCGGCTGCTGATGTGCCTATCGTATGACATGCTCCCGACGAGCCTGGTCCGTTGCCTATTAACAATGTGGGCGTGACCACGCCTACGCTGTTGCTGCTATTGCTGTTTAACAGCTGCTGCTGCTGCTGCTGCTGCTGCTGTTGTTGTTGCTGTTGCTGCTGTTGCTGCTGTGTTGCCTGCAACTGTTGTTGTTGTTGTTGCTGCTGATGTGGCGCTGTGCCCGCCGGCAGCTGTTGCTGCTGCTGTTGTTGCTGTTGCTGTTGCAACGGCAGCACCGCGTGCAGTTGGTGTGCGTGCGCGGCCGCTAGGGCGTGTGCGTGACTGTGGGCGTGGCTGCTGTTGCTACCGTTCGCTGGCAACGGCTGCTGCTGTTGCTGCTGCTGTTGCTGCTGTTGCTGCTGTTGCTGCTGGGTGTTGGTGTTGCTGCTGTTGGTGTTGCCGACGACTCCTAGCACTCCAGCAGCGCCGCCGGCACAACTTTGATGTTTGAAATCCAATTTGTGGCCGGCGTAAAAACGCTGCGTATCGATATACGTTTTGAAGAAATCTATTGAATAATCCAACTGGAGGCTGTAACGCGGCGAACGCGCACGTTTCCGTAAATGAAATTCGTTTAATTAAATGCAAATTAAAATAATGCGCTGACCGACGCTCGATTCAATTTGCTTTATTTTCTGCTTGTTTTTTTTTTTTTTACTTTTTTATTGTTTCTCTTGCGTCGTCCTTGCGCCAATTGACTTGAGTTGCCTTTTAAAGGTTAGCTTGAGCTTCGTTCAGTTTGTGAATGACTTTTTGAATTTGGCGCCGCGTGCGCTTGTCTTTAATTGGCCAGCCTTGAGCTAAGCTTCGTTCAGTTGTCGTTGTTGTTATTGTTGTTGTTGATGTTGTTGTTGTTGTTGTTGCTTTCGTTGTCGTCGCACTTAACACAAATAATGCATTTTGTTATTATTGCCGTGCTCTTCGCTCTCTTGAGACAGACACACACACACACACACACACACACACACGCGCACACTTTTTATAAAATGGCGACGGCTTTTGGGCACTTGAAAAAAATACAAAATTCTTATTGGATTCGCGGACAATGCACATGCAAAAAATTGAAAGCAGTTGTTGTTATTTATTTTCTTTTATTATTATTGCTGTTGCTGTTGTTGTTGTTGTTGTGGTTGGATTTGCACAATGCGGCGTCGCGTTTTGTGGCACCGTTATGTCTAAAGCCGTTGCAGCGACTGTTGGTTTTGTTGGTTTGTTGCCGCTGCCAAAGCAAAAAGCGGCGACGCCGACGGCGGCACAAAAAAAAAAATAGAAGATAGGAAACGAAACCAAACGCCACTAAAAAACACAACAACAAGCCAACGCACACGCACACATCTAAGCAAATATGTTTTTTTTTTTTTTTATATATGTATGTGCATTGAGCTAATGTGTTGGCCAAATTGTCGCAACTATTGTGAATTGTTTTGTTGTTGTTGTTGTTGTCGCACGCACAACACGGTATGTATTCACGGCCGATCAAACTTAAAATGATATACAATTTCAGGCAACATACAAAATTATAACGAAATTAAGGATCATGTGCTCAGCACGATGCTGCGCTGCGCTGCGCTGCTCAGCTGCTGCTGTTGCTGTCGCTGCTGCTGCTGCTGGGGGTTGCTCTTGGCTTGTGGGGACAATTGCGGGCTGCGCGCGAACGATTGGTGGTTAGCAATGCTGTATGTGTGTGTGTGTGTGTGTGAGACCACGAATCGTTAGTCGTACTAATAATTTGAAAAATAATGAAACTTGCGCTGACGACGTCGTCGTCGCCGCCGCCGCTGCCGCTGCCGCCTGGTCTGGCAACGCTGCGCGCGTGTCGAGTGCGACAGCATGCGCCATTTTGTGCTAGCATCGTTTGAAGCGCGCGCGCGCTCGCTTGCACGCACGCATCGGCTGCTGCTGTTGCTGCTGTCTCGCTTTAACTTGCTTGGTTAATTTCGTTAGTTGTTGCCCAGACGTGGACGTTAACGCTGGCGTTGACGTCGGCGGCGGCGTCGTCAGCGTTGCTCTGCGTGTGAGTCTTTGTGTTTGTGTGTGTGTGTGTGTGTGTGTGTGTGCGTGTGTGTGCGCGTCCGAGCAGCTGTCCATATGTATGCCATGTTTCTGTTGATCCAATAAGGCTCGTCGCTGTTGTTGCTGTTGTTGTTGCTGTTGCTCGCTCGCTCGCACGCACGCAACAAAATGAAACAACATTTATTCTATTAGACTGGCAAGTTTTCTTTCGCCTGCTCCAACTTGAGCCGTCTACACACACTCACACACTCACACACACACACACATGTCTGACACACTTCCTTGGGAAATTGTATTTTGGCCGCAACAACGGCAACTGTGGCTAATTTGTCGCTGTTGCCAACTTGCGGCGCAGTGAAAGTGCGCAAATTAATTGCAGCAACAGCAGAATAAAACAACGCCACGCACAGTTTGACACAGTTTAACAGGCGGCAGTGCATGTCAAACTGTCAGCAACGATCAGCAGCAAGCCAGCCTGCGAGTGAGGGAGAGCGAGAGCGAGATAGCCTGTTTGCTGCCTGCTCATTAAGTTGCTGTAAAAAAACTGCCATCATTCCAATTGGAATCTTATGCAGACACACACACACACAGACACACACACACAGACACACACACACACACACAGGCCATACCCTGTACGCACACAGCAAAATTCATAGCGAAATTCATGTAGCACGGCAAATGTGTTGTGTCCGCTGCCAGCGACGCGCATCAAATGAAAATCTTGCCCCAGCAAAGCCAGCAGCAATGGCGACAGCAAATTGCAGCGCGCGCACTATGGTTGTCTCGCTCTGGCTGGCGCGCGCGCGTAGCCAGTACACACGCGCTGACCAATCAGCGCACAGCTGCCGCAGCAAAATGGAGTTGAGCATGTCTGTGGCCGTTGTTGCTGTTGCTGTTGCTGCTGCTGCTGCTGCTGCTGCTGCTGCGCTGCCAGCGCAATGAATTAGTGTTCGTTAAATGTGGCAGCCTGGCGTTGACGTTGCCGTTGACGTTGTCGCCGGCATCGGCATCGTCAAAGTCAACGTCAACGCCGACGTCGTCGGCATCGGCATCGGCGCTGGCGCTGTTGCCACATTTCTTTGGCAGTTTCTTTTGGGGCGGCATTGGGCGCTGCAGTTGCGCGCCGCTTTCTCTGGAATCCTTAAAACAATACTTTTGAACCGAAGGCCCCAAAATGCTGCGCCAAACTGACTTTGGCCAGCGTCGTCAGCGTCGCCAGCGTTGTCGCTCGTTTCGTGCCGTTTAGCTGCTCAGCCTGCCCCCCCTCCACCCACACCAGCCCGCATCGTACTCCTCGTCCTTGCGCCCATTCGCATTCCCGTTCGCCTCGTCCGTCTTGTGTGGGCGCGTCTGTCCAGCTTTTGCTTTGAAGCTGCCTCAGCTATTATTTTTTTTTTCCATTTCTGTTTTTCATTTCTATTTTCTCATTTTTTTTTTTTTGTTCTCATTTGTTTGTTCTTTATTGTGTTGCTTTTTTTTCTCGTTTATTTTTCATCTTATTGCTTTTTCAGCATTGGGGTTCTGCCTTGCTCGAAATGATTTCATCTCCTTGCCTTACACACACACACACACACACGCACACATATGCTTGCATATGGCTTAAAGGCTGCGGCTTGACCGTTCGGCCAAATGTCAGGCTCGTCCTGTTGGTCACTGGGTTCCATATTGGCCGCTTAAATTGCAACAAATTCCCATTTATTTTTTTTTTAGCGATGGCACTTGGCAAGCACATTTATCGATAGCCCAGCTTGTTATCGAGTCTGTCTATCGTTTTCGAGCACAGCTTGCATCGCAAGTCCTTAACCAACACTCAGTAAACATTTTGTTTAAACTAATTTCAAGCCACAAACCAAATGTTAACTTTGTTGTTTTTTAACCATGTATCGAATTGAGTTTATCGAAGTTTACGATATACATAATATTATTTTGTATAATCGAATTTCCTACTGTAAATTTGATAAGTTCTATTGATATCCTTGTAGAGGGTATTATAATGCTGTCAAAAAATGTGTAACGCATAGAAGGAGACATCTCCGTTTCTTCCATTTGTCGGAATTTGTTTTAAATTGTTGATAACTCACCTCAAGAATCGATAAGAATCGATATTAACTTGCGATGCTCTGGGATGTGGAACATATTGGAGCATAAACAGTTACAGAAGTCTTCACTTATTGGATACTCTGCCCCATCTTTCCAAAATGAAGAAAAACGCAATTTAGGGTATCTTCTAGTTGGACACTTCCGACTAGAGCAATCTTACATGTATTATTATAATGCAGATTCGCTTGGGTTCGGCTGTTATACGGCAAGTGATATAAATTGATACCATATCTTGTAGTCAAGCCCAAGCCGAGATGAGTATGTTTGAGTATAAGTGTGAACAAGTGCGAGTACTATGAGTCACCAGGCCAATAAGTGCTCAACTACTTTTGAGTAGTTGCTCTTACAAAACTATTTACGAATGGAGTTTGCATCATTTAATGAGTATGCATGAGTACAAGTGCGTATGTGTTATAGCATATTT